TGCTACAGGTCGAAGAACTTCTTGCGTGGATCATTGGCCGAAAACCCCTTATGCTATCCACGAGTTGTTGCCTCCCGAATCAGTTTTCTCAGCACGGAACTACCCCCCCCCACCCCTTTCCCATTATAGTCCATTGTAAGTAAAGTGGAGGCCCTAGGGGAGGGCACTACTACTACTACTACTACTATTGCCATTACTACTACTACTACTACTACTCCTGCTGCTGCTGCTGCTGCCGCTGCTACTTGTAGCATGCGTGATTCGTTTCCTTTTTGTGGGACTGCTGATTCTTCTTGAATTCTTGCCGCTGCTAGTACTTATGCTACTTCCGCGGCTATTGCATCTAAGCGAATCAGGTCACGCTGACGGAATTCATAGATGGGATCTGCCGGTGCAAGGCCTCAATGATGCCGCTGCAAGTGTGCTGCCATGTAAGTTCAAAGCACACACATGCTTAGTGTTTGTCTTCGGCCAGGGCCCTGCCAGAGCAATCGATCAGGCAAGATGCTTGAAAACTCTTTCTGGGCATGACAGTGTGTGCCGTTCAGCGGTCGGAGGTCGCCATGCACTCAGACATCCGGCAGCTTGACAAAAAAATCACAAAACTTGTCCGAGTTCTTCGAGATTCGAAGCTGTTCGGACGCATCTGATTTGCTTTGTGTTTTGAGATTCATCATTTCGTTGCTTTGTAATTGGCAGCTCGCTTCTGCAAACGTTCTTGTTGCAGATGCTTCCTATCTTGCCATGAGGTTGATTGACAGCCGATCCAAATCGCCGGGAAAGCGAATGTCCGGCCAACCCGCTAATCGAGCGCAAGATTTGTTGACTTTCAGAATGAGATCTTTAGAGGGGGATGGTGGCTTTTCGAGACACCATAGTCCATTTTGACCGGTTGTGCGAAATGCTCTCAAACATCGGAGCATGCAGCCGCGCAATTGCTGCAGCTCATGTGACGAGGAAACACACAAACCTCTTGCTGCATGAAGCTGCTCTGTTATGACAAGGGTGAGGCAGGGAATCTCAGCTGTTCTTCAGAATTTGGTCAGGCATTTTTCTCATGTAAGTTGTTGCAGCACAAAGTAGCATATCAGCAAGAGGGATGTTTTCTTTTACAAGGTTCGCATGAGCAGTTTAGTGTTGACTTGGTGCGCTTGCCAAGCAGGCCCCTGGTTTCAACATGTACGTAAATACTCTCTCGGCTGGCTGCGGTCTCGGGTGCTTGCCTTGCCTGTACGGATCAAACATCGTTCTGTCCCACGTCTTCCTCATGTGCTGCGAAACTGCAGTGCAGAAGCTACTGCTCTCAGGACTTACCTGTGGTCTCGTCCTTCGTATTGTACAAAGCTAGAGGCTGCAGGGGCCGAGAGCAAGTGGCCATTTCGTTGGCGGTCGCATTTATTGTGGGAGTTCGTGGAAGCAGGTAGCGAAGTAGCAAACAGGGCTGTTCAAGCGGTTGGCGGCCATGTATTGGCCCAGTGGCCTTGTGACCGCGCTGAGGATAGACTGGTGTAACTTGGGACAATAGTATCACCTTGGCTGTCTGTGCAGGCGCCAAGAGATGCCGATAGCAGCGCGCTGGTACAAAAAGGAAGGCACTGGTGTAGGTCTCCGGCTCGGATTTAACCTGCCCCGGCTTGGTGGTCGCAAGGTCGGCTCCTGCTGGTGCCAAGTAGCCTTACCTTTTGTATCGAGTCACTGATACATCTACGAGTACGAGTTCTCGTGCTATAGTCATCATCACACGTGGAGTAGGAGGATGAACGGTCAGAGCATAAATGACAGAAGAATGGCCACAGTCATCATGACTATTGCTAACAACAGTAGCAGAAGAAGTACAAGTAGTATAAGTAGAAGAAGGTCAGTGGCGTGGTAGTGGTGGTAGTAGTAGAAGTAGAAGTAGAAGTAGAAGTAGAAGTAGAAGTAGAAGTAGTAGTAGTAGTAGTAGAAGTAGAAGTAGAAGTAGAAGTAGAAGTAGCAGCAGCAGTTGTCATCGTGCTGGCAGTAGTTACAGTAGCAGGATATGCTCAACAGCAGCGTGGGAGCCGGTCTGGATGTTGACAGCTGAACTCACATGTTATTTGAAGCAAGCAGTCAGCTAAGCTAGGCCCCTTTCTGCAGTCTAAGCTTTTGGGTTCCAGCATGCTTGACATTGAATTGCGCAGCTGAGGTTGTATATCAAAGGATTCCCAATTCGTCGGCTGAGCAATTTGCGAAGCCATGTTTGCCACAATATCTCTCTGTTCTACAGTGCTTTGCAGGAGAGAAGCACCTAAACCTTCATATTGACGGGCTTGGGCACGCTGCGAAAACTTCTCTTCGGACTTTAAACTGCAACACACCATTAGCTTTTTGCCGCTTTCGACAATAACAAGAGAATTTAATTGCAGCTGTGGAAGCCTTATCGCAGCAGATGGCACAAGTCTGCCTGAGAGTTTGCAAGCTTGTGAGGCCTCTTTTCATTTGTCGGCCTTGCTTGCTACTTGTACAATGCTTTCGTTCATTCGTTTGAGGCTCATTGCGCGGGTTCAGCCGCCACCCATGCACATCTATGCAACCTGTGTGCCAACAACTGAAGTACTTCGCCAAGCAACCGAGCTTTTCAAGTGGCAGGCGAATCCGCGGCAACCTGGGCCATTCTAGCACTTTCGGCCTGATGCTTTCGTCCAGATGCAGCACAATGTTTTTGTACATGTCTTCTCTAGTGCAGCTCTGGAGCAGATCCGCATGCACTTCTCAGTGCGTGGACTTGCGCTACCATGCTACAAAAAGGAAGCTTGCAGATAGCTAGCTGTTTTGCAACAGCTGGCCATGAATTCATGGTTGTGGTTTCCACCGACGTGCATGCTGTGGCTGGCTTGTTTGCAAACTGTTGCCCGGTTGGTCATCCCTTCCGTTCACTGCTTGGAACAGGCCTGGCAAGTCCAACGGCTGAGCCCCCGCCATCTTGTGTACAGCTGAGAGCTAGAACATAGCAAGGGTACTGCCCCCAGTCTGTAACACTAACAGCTGGATAATATCAATGATATAGTCATATACAGCCCTTAATATGACCCCTGGTATAGATCTGTTACAGGGTGGTGGCAGTACCCAAAACATGGGCCTCCAGGGTGCAGGCTGTTGCCTTTAGCACTGGCTGTTGCAGAGCCAGGTCTCACCTCGAAGGAGAGTGGGGACGTAGAGCCCTATAATAATCCTTATTATATACCCGCAAAATATTCTATAATGGTATCTATATCTACCCCCCCACTCCCCCTCAAGCACCAGTGGGACAAGAGCGCACAAGCGGCATGTCTCAGAGTCACTGAAATAGCAGGTTTCTTTTCTGTTTACGGTTCCTTTGCAGCTTGATGGGTTTTTGTAGCCTTGGCATTTCATGCATTGTGCCTGGAACCTTTACTGTTCCACCGGTGACATGTTCATGTCCAGGAGCTCCTGGCCTTTATACAGAGCTGGCAGCTCTCGCCAGTGACGTCCAGGGCTTGGTTTGCAAGGGTCGCAAGGGCTTGATGCCTAAAATCCTGGTCCCGGCTAAGGGCGCAAGCCGTGAAGGCTTTGCCAGCCAACCTTCAACGGCAAGTGTTGGCCGGGCACAGCCCTCATGCGGGCTGAGACGAGGCCAGCGATTGTCTCAGTGACCGTGATCTGTTTCCAGGTTCAGTCCCAAGCAGGGCACCAGGAATGTGGAGGCGCTGCTCCATGGCTACATCAAGAGCATCAGCGTGTTGCCGTCCCAGTCCTTGATGGCATGCTTTTGCCTGGCTGTTGCTCTGCTAAGCCCATCGTGTTGAGGTCCGCCGACGGCAAGGACCCGGGGCCCAAGATCAAGGAGCCAAAAGCCAAGGCCAAGGCCAGGAACCAACAGAACTTCTACGGTCTTTTGCAGTGCTCTTTTGTTCACAGAATTCTGAAGGGTTCATGGCTTTGGTTCAGATGGAAATTACTTGCCGCGTCGTCTTGCGCAGAAACGCGAAACAAGCGATTGAGCTCTGCAACCTGATTCTATGTTGTAGCGAAAGGACGGTACGTGCTCCAGCGGTGCTAAGGCGCCGAAGAAGGAGCCGCAGAAGCAAGCGCCGCTATTTGGACAGCAGCTGCGCACCGCTTGTGATGTTTTATCACAACACTATCTTCAAGGGTCATGTGTCAATGCTGTTGGGTGTTTGTTATCACGGCTCTCACCAGCAGCCACACTTCTAGGTCCTAGGTACTGCTCAAAGTTGCTATCCAATGCGTATGCTGAAATACATGCAACTGTACCCTTAAAGCAGTGCAATAACAGCAGGCCTGATCCCACCTTCTCATCCCTCTGATGAAAGAGCGAAGACATGGACGTTGTTTCCACAGCATGTGCGAAGCTTGTCCGGAGCCCGAACACATAACAGGTGGAGGTTCTCACGACTTACTAGAGTATTTTTTGGTACTCGGGACTCTGTCATCCTGAAGCAGATCACTAGCTTTACCGTCCATGAAAATTACAGGTACTGCTTTGGGCTCTATTCTTAGTATCATGACTATTGAGTCACTTCTTCTTGAAATTCTGAGCATCGCCACTCCTGGTCAGAGTCTGTCCCAAGGCCCGAACCGGCTCCCACTGCGACAGCCAAAGAAAAGCCCAAGGTCCCGGCCCTAGAGCTCTACTACATTTGGTAGTTTCCCAAAATAGGGGAACCTCAATATAGTCCCCAATATATTATAATCCTTCTTATCGGGACCTTCAAAATGGTACCCCTAATTTTGGGAAACCCCTATTTGTTGGCTCATCGCTTCTTGCAAACTCCTCATGCGGGTCCTGAAAGATTGTGTAGCGGTTGCCTTTGCATCAAAGAGCAACCCGCCCAGTCTCCTGTAGAAAGGAGTGGTTCCGCCTTGTTGCTGTACCGAGAACATGCGTGGCTAGAGGAAACTGGGCTTTGGAAAAAAGGAGGAAGGAAACAAACTTGAAAACAAATGATAGCAGTAACAGAAGAGACAGAGACGGCAGCCGGAAGCAAGAATGCCTCAATGTGATTTGCATCTGCAAACAGCGGTCAGCATAATGAGAATCATGGCAACGATGCGAAGGACCGCAAGAATTCCTAAGGATCGTGTCAGGGGTGGGTGTAAAATACAAAGGCCGTGCGCAAAACAAGTGGATGGCTCAGGAAACGCCGGCTGCGCCTGCAGGCGCGTACGCTTGAACGGGTGCATGAACTGATGCCGAGTGAGTGTTGCAAGCACATACCTGTAGGAAGAACGATGGGAGCTGACAATCACAAACAACATACTTCAATTCTTCCAGGACGGACGCCCGCACCGGTGCAGCAAAGGCGGAGTTTGGAGTGGAAAGCTGAAAGGTTGCCGCCTGGGAGGTAGACCCATAGGCAATACGGTCAGGTGATACAAACATGGAAGCATGGCAGGGGTCAGTTACAGAATCAGAATCTGTTCACACATCAGTCTTGGAAGAACAAGTTGGAGCCCGCCTTTGGCCCTCCAAGACATGGAGACCGCCTTGGATGCAGGCCTGCCCCGGCCAAGCCGCGACTGCAGCTGCCTTACACTCTGCCCTTTCAGCTGGAATCCGGCTCTCCACCCCCAAGACTTGTATCACTTGGCTCCTGCGTTTCCTGGGCCGCTGGATGTTTGTCTCCGAATTAGGCTGAGCACAGGATTTGCGGTGCCTGGGGCTCAGGATGTGTCAGCCTTCAAACAGATAGGTGAGCTTGACATTTCACCAGCTACCAAAGAGGGCATATGTCTCCTTTACCCATGGCGGCAGGCTGAATGAGTCCAGCTCAGAACCTGACGAAGAGGAGGACGTTTACTGGTTTCTTTTTTGGACGGCAGAAGGCTCTGCGGCTGAGAGTGGGTGAGTGATGAAGGGACTGCAGCGCAGTGTGATTGGATATGGCATGTACATGACAGACCTCCTGCTCCCAAGAAAGCAGCGTAGCATGGCCTCGCATTCCGACATGTTTGGCTCAACAAGGGTTAAGCAGTCCATCCCAGCTGCGTGGATCGTGGGTTGGGGTCCTGGGTGTTTGCATGCTGTCCCCCCTTCAAAGGGCCCAGGGCAAAAGGCCTAGTGTCAGACATCGTGTTCCTGGTCATTTCGTGTCGTAGTCATACATGGCTCAAGCGGTAGTTGATTAAGTCTACCTTGCCCGGCGGCCACCTCGCAAGCATGCCGAAAAAGTTTCTCGGCATGATGGACTGGGTCAACGAACATCTCAGCATGCTACCGGATCAGCACGGATTTCCATAGCCTGAAGTCGAGCCACTCGCTCATGAAATCCGAGGCCTACCAGCGAGGAGAAGTACCAGAACTTTAGCGACAGTGGTATGCGGGCTGCTCGCTTGCTTTAGCCATTCTTAGCCTGTTGGTAATGCAAGTTTGACCTTCTTCTATTGGCTTGAGCCGTGTGCCAGGACCGCGTGGCTGCTGTGCACTCCCACGAGTACCAGCCACCAGCGCAGAGCCCCGAAGAGGACCCTTCCCAGCAGCCATCTGGCTTTACTTCCAGTGGATGGGACAAGTATTATTTCTTCAGCAACCCGGCCAACTGCTCCGGACCTGGCAAAGGCTGCCTAGCTTGTTGACAATCTTGGCACTATTGTTTCTAGAAGTCAGCCTGCTTTGTGTCAGCACCGTCTGCCAGGTGGGCTACATCCAACCGCGCGCTTGGGACGTAATCGCCCCGCAATGAATGGGCCACAGACCTTTACCATTGAGGCTTTCAGCCCGGAAGAACTGGCGTTTGCACGGAAGAAAATAGAGAAAAAGGGTGCTCGCACTTCCTACACGGAGGCCTTCAGCCAGTTTCCCAGGAGTTCTACATCAGTGCTTGGGCCCATTGAGAGACCTACAGGGCCACACATCATGAAGCAGGCCGTGGCCAGTGGGCAGTCTGTGTCAGACACGCTCAGCCAGGCTGGCTTGGGCGCACTAACACGCTCCGCAACAGTGCCGGAGCTGATGGCAGGGCCGCTTACAGCCCATCGGATGGGCCCACACTGGCCACCACCAGGCCCAGAACGACCAGATCCACTAAAGACCCGGCAGCAGCTGATGCAGATGGGACCCCATCGTACCTTTGTAGAGCTTCATGCCAGGGACCGGAAGGCCCCAGAGGAGTACCTGTACACCATTACGCGCACATGATGAACTAATGGCTCAGTACCAAGCCGATTCATGAGGCAGAGCCGCAAAACTGCGGTGTTTGCTTTCAGCCATCGTTGTTTCACAGCCCCCTGGGAAATGGAGACGCATTGTTTCATTCCTGCCATAGCCTAGGCACCCTTCCAGCTGCGACTAGTTGCAACAAGTGACACAGCAATCTCCAGATTTCGGTGTGGCCTCTCCGCGCAGCTGCCATGACTGCCATGGCTTATCCACGGTGTCAGGCTGTGCTTCTTTGTTCCACTTCAGCCTGGTTGGCTCGTAGCAGGCATGAGAGTGACCAGTTTCACCTGTGTCCGATGAAGCTGAGACATGAGGTTCAATCTGTCAAAAAAAGAATCCGCAAGCTTGCAGGCGTATGCAGCAGAAGTAACAACGGGCTGTTTGCCCCAGGCGTTTGAACTTTGTTACCAGGATTCTTGTTTTACGGCATGCTTGCCATGCAGGCAACTAGAAAGCTGGGTTGAGAAAGCACGTTGATAGATGTTTTCCATGTGCTGATGCATCATGGAGCCAGTCAAGCAACACCTCAGGTTGCCAGATATGTCCTTCGCTTCGCAGGCTCCGAGCTTGTGCTGCTGGCAGTACATCACACTGCGATCTTCCCTAGGGACCATGGTCGCTGTAAGTACAGGGGTTCTGGGCTGGCCTGTGACTCAAACAGGGGGTCCCTGCGTTTATCCAAAAGGGTTGTGATGCGCTTGAGGGGGGACTTTCGCAACTTTGCAGTTTGCCATTGTCCAGTTTTTGCCATGGCATGACAAGCGCTGGCAAAAGAGCCAGCATGGCAATGCTAACAATGGCAGCATGCACATAGTCGTCATGGTGCAGAGCGGCCCTGCATGCGACCCCAGCGCGTATAAGGAAAGCTTGTGCAGCCATTGCGGCTGACAGAGCCTGCTGCGTCTGATGCTGTCGAGCTTGCTGGCAGTAAGCCATGGAGCGATACTGGCGGCAGCTGTGGGGCTGAATGGCTACTTCCAGTTTACGACCCCGCAGCGCTCCGAGTAGCCTCAGAGATCAGTCTTGATTCGGTGCAAGCTTGCGCTCTGAGTCTCAAGGTCGACGAGTGGAAACCATGAATCGTACAAGAGCAGCTTGACTGCATCCCCAGCCGGCCAACACATCACGACTGCGGGTGGCATAGCCTAGCAGTAGCCTTGCGCGAGGCCACGTGCAAAACCTCTGTGTGGACATTGTGCAGTCTGAAGACTACTGCTCAGTGTGAAGGGCTGAGAGCTTCAAACCACGGGCAGATGGGAGTTCGCTTCGACCAATGTGCTCATCTGCTCGCAAGGTCGCAGGATTGCTCCGCCTTGACGCACTACGAGTGCTCGGAGCTCTATGTTTCAGATGTTGCTGTTAATGCATCTCTGCGGCAATTGTGCAAGTCACTGAAGGTCTCTGACATTTTGTTTTTGGGACCCCTGGCCGGAAATGTGGCATAAATGCTTAGTCATGGTGCAGCCGGGAATCGTCAAAAGACAGGCAAGGCAAGATACGATGTCCCGCAAACGGATGGCTGAAGAATCTGTATTCTTGCAAAGGTCCTAAGGTGTTGGGAAGGTCCGGCAGTTCTTCAGGACTTGGAATGGAGCAAAAGCACAGACATGTAACAATGACTACGTGACGATCCCACAGCCCCGCGAAAAACTGCTGGTCTTGGACTCCTGAAGTAAAGAAACGCAAGCAAGCACAATGACCATACCAACTGAGCTAGACAGAACATCAACAATGCTGACCAGACAGGTTCTGAAGGTGGAGATGGAGTTCGAAGGCCATGTCACGTGGTGGTCTTTCGTGGAGGCTCAGCCGCAAAGCATTGGGCGGATGCGACGGCGGGGTCCTGGTCTTAGTGTCAAAACTCTATGGCCCAGGGGTTGAATTGAGGAAGGAGCCCAACTGTGGAAAGGTGCTTGTGATCTGCCCAAGCTTTATAAACTTCTACAAAGCCAGGAATGTGGAGAGGGGCCAGCTGGAAGCTGTCCCTGGTGCACAAACTACCGAACCTGCATTGGACCTATGGTCCAAACGGACTCACATGCCTTGACTGCGGGCAACTGCATCCTGTGGGAATATAACACGCAGAAGAGCCGGGATGCTTTTGAGATCCTGGTGGCAGTTTTTGATGGCGCAGAGCATATGGTGGCGCATGAGTTGAAGCGCGGCAATTTGCAGTTGGATTGGTCCTATGGCCAAGTGCAGGTGTCTCAGCCTGGTACATACTTTCTGCGCTTCTTCCTTGGCTCGTATGATGCAACTGGGGGCGGCTTGGTGGGGGCTCGAATGGAAGTGCGCAACGTACGCTTCTCTGACAGCTGTTTGGACGAGAACTCATTGCGACTGGGCCCACTTGCATCGAGCACTACAAGCAGTACAGTCAGCCACACTAGCACAAGCAGTACAAACACAACTTCCAGCACCACCTCCACCACCAACACAAGCACCACAAGCACTAGCTTCTCGACATCAACCACATGGACTCGGACAGTGTCTCGAAGAAACTGATGCGTGTGCTGCGAATTTGTATTGCGGTGCTGTAGATCCAGTTCCTTCTGCCAGCCTGAACCTGTAGGCCGACGCCGCAAAACGCCACTAATACCCTGAAAACCTGACAAGCTGTAGGCCTCTTCCACCTCTTCGAGCGCCACAAGTTCCAGCTCAAGGACTTGGAGCTCAACAACCTCCACTCTATCCTCCAGCAGTTTCACATCTTCATCGAGCATGTCCAGCACCTGGTCCTCAACCTCCACTGAGTCTACGAGCACCACAGGCACCATTAGCACCATTAGCACCACTAGCACCACCAGCACAAAAAGCCACACTCACACCCAGGCCAAAGCGACCAGTACCAGCAGCTCGCAACCCTTAGAGAATACCGTTACGCGAGAGGGCAACTGCAACTGTTCCTGTGATCCCGGGGCAACTGACGATGATGATGTTGACCAAGCTTTAGCCATGGTTACCACGTTCGGTCTCCTTCTCGGTGCCTTTTCCGCCATCGTGATCCTTTGCCGGCTCGCCGTGGTTCGCGGCACTCGCAAAATCCGGCCGTCGCTGAGGGAAGCTGCGAAATCGGAGCCGGTCCAGCAGGCACCCGATTGCGTCGCGGTAGCACGCGGGAGCATCATGCTTAACTGGTATGTGTTCTCATGTTCTGAAAGAAGCGTTGACCTGTGGTTTTGGTTGAAGATAAGGCAGCCAAGATGCTTTGCTCGGCAACATGCGCCAGCTCTGTGCTGTGCTGCGTGAGCATGGCATCGGGAGCCCTGAAGAACTCAGGGCAAAGCTCCACCGCGCTGCCCTGGCAGAGCAGGATTTGCCCGCCAGCAGGGTCGACAACAACCTGCCGCCGCTTGATGTGAAGATGCCCTGCCCTGTTTGGTGATTTGTAGTGATTTGCTGCAGCATCCATGTCATGCTGACAGGCAACTTGTCGAAGAGCAACGCAGAGCTTCTGAACAAGTCGAGGGGCTGGAAAGAGCACAGCATGCCCTCCTGCATCAACTTCTGAATGAGCGCAGGCGGAAAAGCATTGAGCAAGATTGAAGACGAGTCTACAGATGAAGCTTCACACCCTGTGGTATTGATTGCTAACTTTCTTTCTCATGTTACCTCCCCTCCCCTGCCTCCATTCCGATAGTTCATCTAGCGCTGATCCAAGCCAAACTACTTGCCCATGTTGCAGGCTCCGGGAAGAGCTGCAACGATCTGGACGGGGATAGCGGATCGGGAATGCGGCTGAATTTCAAGGGGCAAGCTCTACCGCCACGGAGGATCACGGACGGCTCTACGACCGGTCGGAAAGGACATGCTGGAGGTTGGCTGAAGGCCATGCGTGCCGCGCTTCATGGCAAACCTGGCGAGCTGGAAAGCAACCCAGCAGCACGGTAAACCGTGTCAGATTTCGTGCGTTGCATTTACGTGCCCAGCACAAGGCAGCCAATCCTGTGACATGCAACTCACACAAGAGAAGTTTCCAGGCCCGCCAGGTCTCATTCGAACATCTTTTTTTGCCACTTATCCTGTCATGGCTGATGGACCTGCCTTCGAAACAAGTGGCGGAACCCCTCGAACGTGGGAGCCGGCTGGGGAAGGACTGCGGGGTTGCAAGGCTCCAATCAAATGCAGCCAGAACAGGCATAAGGAGCGGTTGAAAGATGGCTTTTGCTCTTCTAGAGAAGAACACAACCGATGCGCAAAACATGCGGGGGTGAATGCTCTCCTTGACTTCTTCTCCAAAACCTTGCTGTGCCACAGGCAAGCAGGAGCAGAAGCATTTTTGCATACACATGCGAAGAACATAAAGTGGTATTAAACAGATTCCGACGTATGCGTTGACGAAATCGCCCAGCTTGCCACGCGCACATCATCAGCATTGATGCGGTAGTGACTGCAAGCAAGTCATTGCACAACTCATGCTGGACGGATCTTACCTGTCAAGGACTTATGCGACCTTAACACCTTTCCGAACCATACAGCCGCCATGTGGATGGCGAGTTCATCACTTCATTTAGGTTTGTTTTATTCTCTTCTTTTAGTCACAAATTCATTGACTGATTTCTGGGCAAGGTTCTAATTAGGCTAGAAAAGTGCTGTCCTGAACTTTCAATCCCAGACGTTCAGCCCCCCTGCGGAGCTAGCAAAGCTCACATGAGCCATAGTCTAAACTCTTAGTATCCCCCTTAGTGACCCCTATAATACTCCCCTATATAATCCCGGATGTAATCCCCTTTAAGGAGTTCAGACTATAGCTCACATGCGCAACTCAGCCCTAAACCTTGCAAACTTGACGGACCAAAGTGGTGTTGCATGTAGGACAACTACAGTGACGGCGGTCTTAACATGCTTTGAACTGGTTTGGCGGGACTCATAATCTCGCTTATGTTTGAACTGCCTATGAACCTCCCAAGTAGGGGGTGTACTGGATTGCTGTTAAGGAACTAAAAGTGAGTTACCAGAAGCAGGAAGCCGGAAACCCTCATATTAACTAGATACAAATATTACAGTACTGCAATTTAAGTTCCTTCACAGCAACCCAGATTATACTAAAGAAACTAGCAGAAAAGAAGACGGAAACTGCTGTACGATGATGGGGTATATAGCGCTTTCGCAGTGTTCGACGCCAAAAGGCTGCCGAGACCATTGCGCGGAAAGCCACAACCAGGGCAAGGCGGGCCTCGCGTGCTGTCCATCTGTGAGGGTTTAAGGTTTAAGGTTTAGGGTTACGAGCGTGGACCTCAGCAAGCCTGCAGCAAAAGGGTTTGGGGTTGGATCAGAGCGATCAAGACCTAGCCAGTTTGCCAGCATAGATAAGCCCTCAACATGCGCAGCAATACATACAGCTCTTACGACTGAAAGCTGAGCTCTGACTCCACTGGCATCAGGGTCAGCTTCTGGTTGCCTGGCTCTGTAAAGTAAGACCCTTCCGGCCTAGACCACGCGAGCAGAGAGATCACAGAAACAAGGATTTGGAGGAGTCCCCCTTTACAAGAAATTCTTACCGGACCGTACCCCAAACTGTAGATTCCTATGCAGTCACGCGCCATGGTCTAGGCCTCCCCCCGCCCTGCGGGCGGCTGTGGTTGGGGGGTTGGGGTGGACCCTGCCTTCCCTCTGTGGGTGGGGGGGCGGGGTGGCCCCCCCCCCTCTGTGATTGGAATTGGGTGGGATGAAGAGACATGATTTGAGGTCTTCCACTCCCTGCTGTAGGTGTGGGTGGTAAGTTTATATGGTATGGGGATGAGGGAAGACATTTACATGGATCAAAGAGATTATTTATAGATGTGTAGGTACAGAGATGGAGTATCATTCCTGTGCAAGGTTTCTGAGGTTTTTGGAGGGTCTTAGGAAAAAAAGCTGTTCATGGTGGGATAAGTGAAGCGCTCAAAAACCAACATCTACCACAGCCCCAAGGATCGTGCCCTAAACTGGCCCATCGCAGGTAACTGTCACACAGAGTCAGACTCCAAAAGTGACAACAGTCAGACTCTTGGCACTTGCGAGATTGCGAAGGGCCAAAAACGACGACAGTTACGGAGATTCCGTGCGTTGACGGCCCTCCCCCTCCCTCCCGGACCACACCGTGGAGGAGGGAACGCCAGACGGTTGACCATATATCTATGTGTGTTGTCTTTCGAGAAGCCCTGGATTCCAGCAATCATTTCGAGGCCAACCAGCGCCCACGGAGTGCCCACGGAGCAGTTGGCGCGGAGAGCCATGAATGCTTTTGGCTCAGCTGAAGCGCAGAGGTTCAGGGGGGATGCTTTGCGGGCAGCTCAAGAACCCATGATAAGGAGGCATTGTTTGTGTCAAAGCCATGTTTGGACTAATTATTTTCCTCCAAAGACTGAAGAGGAGAAGCGGGCGGGGAAGAGTCTATTGGCAGCAGCGGGCTGTCAATCAACTCCTATCCTTCTCAACTGTGGGGCCCCCCAATCCATATAGTAGCATTTGTACGGAACGATATGCATGGCACAAGACTCATGGACTTTTCAAGCAGTTCTGTCTTTGCAGCCAAGCAGCTTAGATAATCTCTGCAGTTCTGCTGATTTTCTTTGTGAGTCCAAGAAAGGGCCCAGGCCTTTCTTTCCAAAAATCTGACATGTTCGTGAGTGCAGCCATCTTTGGATTGCCATGACCAATGACCAAAGCATGGACGGAACCCTGATGGACTTGACCCTGAACCCTCAACCCCCTCATCCTGAAGCTGCTAAAGCACCCCAGGGTTTTCCTCTGAACGCCCGACCTCAACTCCGTGCAGCAGTGTTTCTGAGGTATGGAGTTGGCAGATTAAAGCCTTGGCAGCAGCGAGAACCAATGACGAGATCTGAAGCATGGGAGGAAAACGGCGATGCAGTCTGCAGATGCAATTCGAAGAAGGGACCGCCCTCATGGCCGACCATGCCTCGAAACAAAAAATGGGCAGCGGTCCAAGTCAACAAAGACACTGTCATACCAAAGCATGCTTGAAAGATTGCCTGCTTGAATTGCTTCCCAAATGCGCACCACATCAAAGATATCAAAGTGCATCCTTGTCAGCGTGTACAGAGAGGCAAACGGCGACGACCCCAAGGGTTATGTCCGCCCGGCCAACGGACCACTAAGTGGAATGGCCTTTTTGGAGGAGGTTAAGAAGATGTTCAGGTAGAGCGTGTTTGCGTGTCTTTCGTCGGTCTTGTAGCCAGCAACCCCCTATATATCCCCATATGCCCAAGAAGCCCAAGATGCTGATGGCTCTTTCTTTTCTTGACCATCTGACAGATCGTGGTTGACTGCCGCGGCCACTTACTGGGTCGCCTCGCGTCAGTCTTGGCCAAGGAGCCTGGCGGAGCACGGAAGTGTGAGTGAGTGCGAAGGGAAGAGAAGGGAAGAAAGCGGATGTGTCGTGTGAGTTGGCTTCCTTGGCCCAGAGGCTTAGCTGTTGCCAGGAGCTGCTGAATGGACAGCACGTTGTTTGCGTGCATCTCGACCAGACTGACTCATTTCTTGTCCGCTGTCCGTGTTCGTGTCTCTGTGCGGGTGCGCTGTGACTTTGCAGATGTCAGTGAGAGACCGCCCGAGGCGTGCAGAGGACATCAACATCAGCGGATCCCTGTACCGGAACAAGCTGAAATATGCGGCTTGGACAAAACTGGGTGGTCGGTATGGGTTGGCATTCGCATCTACAAGAATTCAGGTTGAAGTAAAGCATGCAGGATCCTGAACAAATCAAGCATCTCATGTTCAAGGGACCCAAGATCCGCTACTGTTCCTGGCTTTGCTTGCCTGCCTTGCACTTTCGTCCTGCCCAGTCAGTAGACCTTGGTTCATGTGTCTTTTGACATGTTGATTTTGCAAGTTTGGTGGGCTGCACTGTCACAGGTTCTGACCACTCTGAAGCCGGTAGCTCCTAAGAAGTTGCTTTCAGGCCGCCTTCAAGAGGAAGCACATGAACTCCAATCCACGACAGGGACCTTTCCACTTCCGAGCACCATCCAAGATCCTTTGGCGCGGCCCGTTTGCAAATTGCAGACGCCTCTTCCCAATTTGCGTGTAAGTTGGAGAATTCGATTTGTTGTTCGACGACAGGCACAATCCGCGGAATGGTTCCTCACAAGACCGCACGCGGGGCAGCTGCCCTGGATCGTCGCTCGGCTTGCACGTAGCGTGATATCATCAGAGCTACACACAGCTTTGTCAGTCCGCCTAGTACGCTAGAAAATGCTAGAGGATAGCGCGTTGTTTCCTTCCCTTGGAAGGTGGCTGCATGGTGGGTGCTCCGACATGCCTGTAGCACCTGCCTTGTGGTTACCTGCTTCAGGCCTGAAGACCTTTGAAGGCATCCCTCATCCCTATGATGCTGGGCCGTCAAGACATGATTGTAGTCAAGCGGGCAGAAGGCACGGTTGAACCGACGTGAGTTGCAAGAAGCAGCCGGCTGCTTCTCAGTGTTTTGGAAATGTGTGCGCTGCTAGCAGCCTGCGAGTACGAGCAAATGTGCAAAAAACTATGAAGTACAAAGATGGACATCCAAGGACCGCAAGAAACGCATGGTTCTGCGTGGAGCTTGAAGATGAGAAGATAGCATTTGTGATGCCTGGACACTATTTCTTCTGCGCATTTTCAAATGCTTCTGGCGTGCCAAGTGTGCCTGTTGTGATTGGTTCCTGCGTATTCCACTTGCTCCCAGTTTTGTGTTGAATTGCTGCCGAGTCCCAGCTGTCTGAAAGTCCTCCGCCTGCGCCCCGAGCGCCGCTCCTGCCGGCTAGGCGATCTCTCGAAGGAGGCCATGGAGGGTGGCCCAGCGGTAAGGGGCTGTGCAGTCCAATGGCTCTTCAGCAGACATTTTCTGCGCAGTAGGATTCCCCACAACTGCGTTGCAGTGATGATCAAGTAAACCGTACCAACAAGCTGAACGACAGCGCTCATAGCATCGTAGCAAGATGGGCAAATCCTACTTGATGTGTACTTTTTAAAAGGATGATCTGTCTGATGCAGGTCGGATGGAAGCACGGCGCGCTAATTGAGCGTCTGGAGAGCCAGCGGAAGGTGAAGAGTGAGGCTTTCCACAAGAAGAAGGCCGTGCTTTCGGTTTGAGATTTGGGCTTTGAGGCTTTGAGGCATGTACAAACGGATTGCCAACTAATACTATCGAAGAGTAGGCTCTTGGAAGCCTTTTTGCCAGCTGCATCTGCTCCTGGTACAGTGCTCGCCTAGCTTGAGAGCCCCTTCAACCTGTTGAGGAAGACTGCCCTGGCAGAGTCAGGAAGAAGTGGTTTCTTGCCTTACCCAGGGGGTGTGACCTGAGAAACCTCCAGAGTTGCAGGGCGAGGTCCAAACGGGAGACGCAAGCATTCCCGAGCTGATTCCAATTTGACTTGGAGATGAACCTGGCAGTTTGCCATGTCCTACATGACAGGTGGCAGCAAAGCGAGCACGTTCTGATGCCAGAGCCTTTGTTGTTCACACCTCTCTTTGCTGTCTTGTCTTTCCCTCCCCTATTTGTGTTGGCATGTTTAGGACAGGTGGATGCCTTGAAGTGGGAAGGATAATGCGCCACCAGTTAAGGTTCTGAAGGCGGTGAAGCTGTCGGCCGAGGATCAGAAGGTGCTGGAAGAAGCCGGTTACGCATGATGCAGGTGTTGTTAGAGACTTTGGGACCTCAATCAGCAGCAAGTGGAGACAAAAGATCGCTATGTCTTCTTGCTGTTGCATCACGTGGCATCATGTCGCATCCTTTGCTGCGCTGTGATTGTGAAGCAACAGGATGGTGAACTCATGGCTTGATTCCGTTTTCCGTTCAGCCCTCGTGCAGTGTGCACCTTCCCTCAGTGTATAGGCCAAGTGGCCAAGTGAACCTGGAGCCCAAGATGCCATGCGCTAAGCATGCTAAGCTGCTAAGCTAACTTCAAGGGATTTTGCTGTGAGCAAGTAGTCTCCCCAGTGCCAGCATGGCCTCCTCAGCACGTTGGCGCGAGATCCTCTCTGAGCTGACCAGGGAGCTGGAGCACCAATCCGCAAGGTGCATCATCTGTGTTTTTGCATGTGAGGCGCGTTCATGTGTGCGCTATGCCCTGCCATACGCAGAGAGTGCAAGGTTGCGAGAACTCGAAGCGGAGAACAAGCGCTTGCAGGAGAGCTTCCGAAGCCTATGAACTCAAGACATCTAGGTCCTGGGTCATTCTAGGTGGGGCCAATCTGTTCCTGCAACCGATCGCAAGCCTTTCCCCAGGCGCCTACCGAGCTGGCCAAGAGCCCCCCTGCAGCAGTTCAACGTATCTCGAAGACGCCACCAAGGGTGGCAAAGCTTTCAGGCGACTATCTGCATGATCTCACATGCTGGCTAGAGGGCTGCTTTAGCATGCATCAACAGAAATGTGAGGTTGTGTTTTGGGGTGCTCCATTAGACAAGCAGTGGTGGAGTACTACTCCCCGTGTATATTCCACCCCCGTGATTTTTTCAGCAGAAAACCGCTGTTGCGGCCGTTCTGTCAGATTTCGCCAGCTGCAGATGCTCTCCCGAATTTTTAGTAGTGCGGAACCCGTACTCTAGCATAGGCAGCATAGTTGCTTTCCCTATCTTTCCCTGGTGTGGGACATACTGCCAGGTGTGGGCCCGAACTTTGCGTCCATCGTTTCAACTCCTAGGGTGGACGAACTCTTTACGCAGGCCAGGCCGCCCCCATGCAATCCCATGCAGCAGGCTGATATAGGCTGATGCATTTTTGGTAGTTTCGCATCCTGGCGCTGCCCAGGACCATCCACGTATTCAGAAGTCTTCCGTCTCCCTCAGCCTCCAGTGGGATACTCACAGGTCGCACCTCCACAAGCCAGCCTATATCATCGACCCAGAGAGTGCTTGGTATGCCTCGGGCTGGCAAGGTGTGGTGGGTCTGGCTTTGGCTTGGGTGGCCGTTGTGACTCCGCTCCAAATAGGGCTCCTGGACATCCGGCTGAACCTGTTGTTTGTGACCGGCCTGTTCATTGACGTTGTCTTCCTGGTGGATTTGATCCTTCAGTTTTTTGTCATGATCTCCGTGAACACGTTTCGCGGTCTCCAAAGGGAAGTGCGCTTGAGCAAGATTGGCATCCATTACTTGAAGCGCTGGTTCCTCATTGACTTCCTTGCCGTCATACCGTGGGATCTCATAGGCCATCGGGGCGGTCACGCCGTTTCATGTTCTTCTGATGTCTGCTGCTATACCCATTATACCCGCATGCCATGAGTGTGGCCTAGCAGGTTTCCTCCAAGAGGACTCAGAACATTTAGGTGGTCTTCGGGTGGTCCGTGCCCTGTGGATGCTGAAGATGCTTCGTCTGATCAAGCCGTCCAGGTGCGCAGTTGAAGTGCACGGTGCGCTTGGGGGGGCAGGGGCAGTTGCCACAGAGCACGGTGCACAGTGTGCACGAATTGTGGTCAGGCTGATCCACAAGATCGAGATTCCGTACTCCATTCCCTACCAGCAGCAGCTTGCGCTTCTACGCTTTCTCTTTGCTTTGATGTTTGTGTGTCACTGGCTGGCCTGTGTCTGGTCGATGACGCTGAAAGTTGTTGACGAGGCTGGCTGAAACATTTGCGTCCCACGTCAAAGTTTCATGCTTGCAAATCCCGAAGCGCAGCAAAACTGGCTGCTTGATACAGGGTTATCCCCGGTGGATCGATGACATCCAAGCCGTAGATGCAACCTTCGGTGGCGTGGCATGTTATGGTAGTTTCCCAGAAAAGGGAAACCCCAACAAAGACCCCAAAATACAATGATCCTTTCTACGGAGACCCCTAAAAAGCTGTCCCTAATTTACGGAAACCCTAAGAAACTTCAAACGCTAAATCCTACATAACCCCTATATTACCCTATATATCCCCCCATAATCCCTTTAGAAGGTACCGCTATCTTTGGGAAACAACCTTATGAGTATTGCCAGACATGAACCATGAAGTTGCAAAGGCTAAATGCAGTTACAAATCCATACCCTGTGCCCAAGCCCCCAGCAGTGATTATTATTATCATTATTATTACTACTATTATTGTTGTTTTAAAAATGTTATTCTTATTGCTATTTCTGTTTTCTGTGTTATTATTATTCCGATTATTTACAGTGTTATGATTCGTATTATTATCATTATTATTACTATCATTACTACGACTATTTACTATTGTTATTCTTGATTACATATAACATGTTCATCCCAGCTGGAGTTTTGTGGTACTAGGTCTCCTTAGAGAAGCATCAGGGTCTTGCAACACGAGGCTTCGAGCAAAATCAATTTCTGCGCACCTACATTGCCGCCTTCTACTTCTGCAGCAGCCCTGTAGCATTAGTCCAAGGGGCTTTGTGCAAGTAGTTCGTACTCGTCGCGACTAAAAGCAAGAGTCAAGAGCTTTAGCTGCTGGTTGTATTTTCCTGGAGTCTAGGTTTGTTGGCTGCAGACTGCAGAAGGTACCCTGCGTTAAAGCGCTCCTGCACCCCCCAATATGCCCCAAAGGATATTCTCTCAAAATCTAAAGATTTTGATTAATCGCAAGCTGTATGAGAGCCAGAGCACTTCCCAACCTTATCGGGCCGACCCAAAACCAATGTGTCATGAATATTTTCAGGGTTTGTTGGACAGGTGGCCATGTTACGAAAGCTGGCGTAGTTAGGCTTGAATTGTTTCTTGCTTTACAGCAAGAGGGGTCTAGGGGGGGGCAGGCAAGGTCTGGAAAGCTGCGAACTTTTGTCTATATCGCAGGATGGGGGCGGGGTCGAACTTGGATTCTTTCACAGGAATCTGAGCCTCCTGAGAAGGTCAATACTGATCCTTTCAATAAAAAAGCTTTGAGGGGATCTTTGGCAAACTCATATGTTCGTGCATGGGCTTGTTTGATGTACTTGCGCTTACGCTTATCCTGAAATGTGCTTTGCCATCAAGATTAACGTCATGCATGGTGGCTACATCGATTGCGAGGTTAAGGTACGAATATCATGATGATTGGTTTTTGAATCACACCTCCTGACTCCCTCCTGATACAGATCCGGTGCGCGACCATGGTGCGAGTAGCACCGTGCTGGCGGTTGCATCAAACCTCCTCACAAACTCGTTCTGTACCCTTGCACGGAGATGGTGTTAGCAACATCATGCTTGGTGGTTTCAGCAAACCTCCTTCCCTTTATCAATGTGCTGTTCACCAGCCTTGTTGGGCTCATGGCATGAGTAGCATACACTAGTATCATGCTGATTTTTGCGTGATACCTTCATGCTCCGACTAGTGTTCACTACGCTTGGGTGGTCATGGTGCAGTTGACATTATGCTGGGTAGTTGCTTCAGGCTTCCCGCCTGTGTCTGACTGTGCTGTGCAATACCCTTGCGTGGTCTTGGTGTGTGTGGCCTCATGCTTGGTTGTTGCATCAGGCCGCCCTCCTGCATCTCTAACGGTCAACACCCTTGTGTGGTCCTGTTAGGGGTAACTGACAACAGTAGACCGTGTTGCTGCATCAAGCATCCCCACTCCTCCGCCCTTGCGTGATCACAACGTGGGAAACAACCGAATGTCATTGCATAGTCATGGTGCGAGTATCGTCCTCTTGGATTCATTCAGGCCTTTGCGTGGGGTTGAGGGATTGGGGAGTTTTGCCTGATGTGTGAGTCCGCCTGTGCTTCGTCGTCCTGTATAGGAGTGTTTAGTGATTTTGGACCTCCTGTATTGAAGAGCTCCTATAATCCCTATAACAAGGTTAAATAAGGTTGACACGATTTTTTAACCGCCCCTTGAAGACGATCAGGCCAATGATAGAAAGCTCTCATTAATGTGGTTCAGTGTTCAGGTAAAGGCACCTCTCCTATCCCGACACCCGCCGCTCCAACCCGCGCATTTTGTATTGAAGTGCTCAAGACCTGGCTAGCTTTCGTTGGTTTCGTTCTGCCCCTCGAGCATGGCAGAAGCCATATTCGGATTGTCAGCCATATCATGCAATCTACTCCCTTTTGTACCGCAATAAAGCTCCCTGTATATCCCCTCATGAAACCGAGGTGAAAAAAAGAGATGTTGAATGGCTGAAACAGTAGCTTGAACTCTTCTTTGGCTGTTGCATGTTCAAGATGATTGTTCTTCTGCAAAGCTGAGTCTGCCGAGAGGATCCTTGAAGTCAAGGTAGGTAATCCAAAAGTATCAGTGCGATGGGACGTTACCACAATCAGAGTGCCCAAACCAAAGAAACTTGAATACAAGAGGTGAGCAGCGGCAAAACGTGCCAATGAGATTCGGAATACTGGACATTCTGATCGTGAACACTCTAAGATCACATACACGCAAACATGCATAGGTAAATGTTAATAGAGACAACCCACAAGTAAAAACCTGGCATTTCAGCATGGTTGTATTGATGGCATTGCATACGCACTACTGGTACTTGTAGTTGGTCTATTGCAGTACCCAGCGAGTGCGCGTAGTGTTGCTTCTTTTCAGTCTAGTCAGACATAGCCATTCGATCGTTTTCATTTCTATCGGTATCTTACCGGCTGAGTCTTGTTGCAAAGTGCACTTGGTGGGTTCACAATGCAGCTAGTCCCACATTGCTATTTGGCGGCAACCTGTTCGTATCACGAAAAAAGCCTTGGCGTCACGGCACGCGATATTTCCACTGTGATAGTCTTGTGCGGTAGGTTAAATGTTGAATGAACAATCGGCATCGCAGCCAGCTGGAGAGCTCATGTGGCTGTTGATGTGCAATTAGTGTTAGGGTTTGCATCAAAAGCAGCATTCACAAACAGGCTCTCATAATACAAGATTTATACCTTCACTGCGATGTTGATGCTATGAGTGCTGCCGCTCATGGCTTGGGTTCCTATCATCATTTCCCGTAGTCTTGTTGTGGGAGACCCTTCCGCATATTTTTATATTTTTGCAGTTTCTTGTGCTCCTGACCAACCTGCTGCTGAACAAGTTTTGTTCACACATTGTTTTTTCTGTATCTTCTGCAGAGAGTTGTCCAGAGTACCCGACATGGAGTGAACATTGGAGTAGCCACAGACCAAGTACTCAGGCTTCACGACCCAGAAATATCAAAAGGACGACCCCGCGCCAAATGTGTGCGAATTCTTGGACTTCAGAAGAAAGAGCAACGAGTCTCGAAATTCCCCAGGCTAGAAAAACAGCAGAATCAGCCCAAATGCAAGCAGAGGCAAATGGGAAAACATGGGAAAACAAGGCGACAAAGAACCAAGCACAACAGAACCACGAAAAGGAAGAGGACAAGACTGTTATCAGCCTAGTTCGAGACGCACAGCAGGACCTGGCTGCGGCATCCCAGCAGCGTTCGAAGCGCTGGGGTCGCAATCTTCGAAGCTGTCGTCGCTCTTGGTCTCTCCTCGTGTTGGAAGCTTTTCGAAAAAAAGTGTCGACAGGGGATGCGACGGATCAGGGTCGCGATGCGATCCTCGTAGCTGTCGTGGCTTTTGCAGCTTCGGATGCTTCTCTCGCTCCATAAGCGTCGACAGGCTGGGGTGGGTTGGGATGCTTGTAACTATTGTGCCTCATGTCCTGTGTGTCTTGTTTTGTCTTTGCTTGTGTCCTCAAGTGATGTCCTCCTGTTGTGCCATGTCTTTTGTTCTGTCCTGTATCTTTGCGATTTACATGTCCTCATGTTGTGTCTTGTGTTTTCGTTCGAGGCCGCATTCGGATCAGTGGCTTCTATTCGTTTGGTGTTGACTTTTCCGGTGTGTGTTTTTGGGCATGCTCTCTTTGGTTTCTTTGCTTTGCAGGACATTAATTCACTTGGCCTCTGAAAGACGTCTTGTGATGCGCCGATGTTTGTATGACCCCTCACTCTTGCTGCCTTGTCTATACATCCGCATTGATTTTTGTCCCAGATGCGTGCATGACGCAAGGGACGTCAAAACATCGCGTTGGGAACGCCCTTCGCCACAAGAGCAACCGACAGTCTTGATGCAGACTTTCTTCCCTTGCTGCTTTCCTTCGGCCTTGGTATCTTGCATTGCCGATCCCGTCATTCACAGTTCGTGTTTTGAAACGTAACGCGTGTGACAAGCAACGGCCATGTCCTGCAATATTACCATCCTACAATGTGTAGACGCTGTAAGTCGACATCTCGACACAATGCAGAGGGCACACAGCGGCCTTCAGCAGATAGGTCCCTGATGGAAAATGCTGTTTTTCTCCCTGTATCCGACTGTATCCCCAGGCTACACCATGACATCGGTTGGGTATGGCGATGTTGGCCCGCAGAATATCTTGGAACGCATCGTCTGCACCATGATGGTAATGTACCCTGCCGTGAACTTCTGCTGAGTGCATCTTTGCGTTGAGTGACGTGAGAGTTCCATGGAGTCTCTTGCCGTCCAGGCTATCAGGCAATAGCGATGACATGTACTCAGTCGGATTTCACGGCACTGTGCAAGGCTTTCTGGCCTGTGTTGGGCCTACGTCATTGGCCAAGTCTGTGCAATTGTGGCTGACATCGGTGAGGAAAGCCAATCCTTCCGGCAGCGAGCCTCGCCTTACACCATTATTGTTTTGGGGTTTTGACTCGGGCCCTCTGAACCAAGGAATGCACCACCTGAACATGATGATGGAAGAGGAGCACCTTCCACACGAATTGAAGAGTCGGGTGAGGCAATTCTTCCTTCACAATCGCGACCAGGCGAGGCATTTAACGCAGCAATCGCTCCTGGACGCTATGAGCCCACAGCTGAAAGCAGAGGTTGCTACGGTCGTCAACTTCCCGTGGCTTGAACGTGTGACCTTCTTCAATCGGTTCATGCGACGGATCGAGGAGCTGCAAGCCCAAGGAGTATCCGTCGCGCCCTACCGGGCTTGCATCGCGGACATCGTGCGTCATCTCAAGAGTGTGGCGTATGCGCAAGGGGAGTTCCTGAGCGTGATCCGCGTCCTGGGGATTTTATCCAAAGGCCTTGCTCTCCGCTCCAGCCGACTGGAACATAAGGGTGCTGTGTGGGGCGAAGATTTTGTCCTATCCAACGTGGCCCTTGTACGCCCGGTGAATGCCTATGCCCTGACCTACCTAGAAGTTCTGTGTTTATCCCGAGAAGACTTGATGAGCGTGATTGAGCAGCACAATCTCACCTGCCCAAAACTCGGGCAGATCGTACGTCGCTACTGCGTGCGCGTTGCTGTGCGTCGTGGCATTCTCGCAGAAGCAAGACTGCGGAGCCAGCACAGGCATTCATGGGCCAGCCGAGCTTCGCTATCATTATGAGATATCATGATTGCAATTAGTGCCTTGTGCCTTGCGCTTAATCAGAGTGCAGGTGCCTTTGCTGATTTTCCTCCCGAGTTGAAACCTCAGGAACAATTGATCAGGCCTCTTTGGCAAAGCCAGCGCTTGAAGGTCCGCAGACGGTCAACGCATTAGCTGTCCAGCAACTGTCGGAAAACAGGCCGCGTTTGGCTCCCTGGTTGCCGGACAGTTGCCTTCGTACTTGTACCAGTTTTGAAGTCGATGGCACCGTGCGAGGACAAACCGGCCCCAAAGCCAAAGTGTCTCGGAACATCATTTGGCAGATCGTAGCGCGACAGGACAGGGGGGCTTTTATCCTGCCACTGGTAGAATCTGGTAGAAGCTCACCAGCAGTTCTGTCAAAGTCCATTATGTAGGCTGGACAAGCAAAAGCACGACAAAGAAGGCATTCTAGTCGCTGCAGCGCAGCAAGTGTAAGCCTTTGGCTGAGGTCCAAAGCAGCAGCCAAAGCCAAGTCCGTGTCTCGCCTTCAATTAGGGCCACTCGTAGTGCAGAGTTGCTAGCTGTTAGGCTTCCAATCATTTAGAATCATCCCAGGCTCAGGGTAGCCAGTCAATGATGTTTCTTATGACTTTTGGTGTGAAGTGCCAACATGCAAAGACACACTGACAGTGCAGCGTCATCCTAGGCGCCGGAACCGAAGAAGGTGTTTGAGCCTGCTTTTCGCTGCATAGCTGCGGAGCCATGAGGGTAGCGACATCGTGCTACTGATGCGGGCTACAGCAGCCAGCTTCAATCAATTCAATGGGGATTGCTGCATTATGTTGTAATTGATTGGCTGGAATGTTCTGCAGGGACACGGGCAAGTCTCACGTGTTGCCAGGGTGCTCAGCAGAGCCAGCAGGCCAAAGACGAGCGGCAGTCTTAGAGTGAGGTTTGCCTCACAATGGCATGCCTTTGTCAGCACGACAGCATTGCTGGCCGAATTTGGAATCTCAAAGAAGCGATGGCTCCTGCCATGCCGAGGAACCCAAAGAAGGGAGCAGATCCGAAGCCGAAGGACGAAGGACAGCCTGCCCGACAGCAGCCAGCAGAGAAGGCGACAAAAAACCAAAAGGCCGACAAGTCTCAAAAAGAGCAGAAGTCGTCTGAAAAACCCACCGCCGAACAGAAGCAAAATGAGACCGCTCCAAAGGAGCAGAAGCAGGCAGAAAAAGCCCAGACACAGCCAAAGGTAGCGGACAAGGCACCTGCGGAAAAGCAGCAAGGCAAGAACCAGAAAGAGCAGAAGCAAGCGGAGAAGCCTCAGCAGGAGCAGAAGGAGCAGAAGCAGCAAGACAAGGATGGAAAGCAGCCAGACAAAAAGCCAGATGTTAAGCAGCAAAACAAGAAGCAGAACGGGAAGCAGCTAGACAAGAAGCAGGACAACAAGCAGCAAGACAGGATGCAGGATGCCAAGCTGCAAGTCCAAAAGCAGGACCAAAGTCAAACGCAGCAAGGTTTACTTCAAGATGAGCAGAAACTGCAAGCCGGCAAGTTGCAGAGAGAGGACCTGCCATCGGATGTTCCGCAGCTTCTAACGAAGGCCAGCAAGGACAGACTGCCAGTTCGGTCTCCCATCAATCCTGGCGAGGCGACTCCAGTGATAGACATGCTACAAGGCCAAAAGCAAGAGGAAAGGCCGTCCAAGAAGCGGAAGGAGCCCGAGAAAGATTCGCGGCTCAGCAACACCGCCTGGGAGGAGTTTCTCATGCTAGATTCCAAAAGCGCAGCGCAGGCCCCACTCGCCCAGGAGCGAGGCCTGGCGAACCAGGAGCCGCTTGCGTCCTCGCTGCGGGCTCCACAGACTTTGGAAGAGAAGAGAGCGCAGCTGAAGGAGCAGTTGATGGCAGAAGGTGTCCATGTCAGCCCTGCGAGAGTAGAGAAGGAAGAAAATCTGGAAACCAAGATGAGGCTTGCCTGCACTTAGTCATCTTCCGAATGCTGAGCTGGAGATTTTGACCATGTTCCTGGCACATGCGCATAAATCCGAGATCGCATGCAGAAGATCTGCATTTGCCAGTATATCTCATGACATTCAAGAAGATTAAGGCCTGCGAATGCAAGGCAAACTCCAGAGAAGTGCCTCGGCAACCATGCTCTTGTAGAAACATGTTGCCGTGTTCCTTGAGGGGTGGCCGTCACGCCATGCGTGTGCGGGACAACAACTTTTTGCGCGACATGCTTCAAGTCCCACTTTGTGTGCTCTTGCTTGCTTATCGGTGGACTGTTGCCAATTGATTTAGGCCAAGTGTGCTGGAATGGGTCAAGGAAACAACAGGTTATAATTCGGTATAATATGATGACCGAACTGCAGGATTTGAGCTGCCAACAGTGTACCAAGCAAAACGAGACAAACATACCGACTTCCGGATGGACACGCTTTGTTCGCATGACCTGGTCAGCAAAGGCCAAGCCAGACACAAATGGCCAAAGACATGCCAGACTTGCTCCATTGCCAGGAGACAAGATATCAAAGGGCTTAAATAGGAATAGAGGGGTGTCTTCGCTTTGCAGCAACATGTGCTAGTGTAGGTCCTTGAGAAGACAGCTTTCCGGCAGAGTGCAGGAAGAGATTGCCGCGCGTGCTGGGAGGTCCGTGACGCGGGGCTGCCAGGACTCCTGTCAGGGACGCTACGTTGCTTGTTTTTGTTGAAGGCCAACAGGCGGCCACCAGTACCCGTTGGACAAGCATCAACGCTCCCCTCTCGCATTGGTTTTGAGAAGCGGAGGGATGCGTTACATAGTACGCAACAAGGGTATTCCATTGGCCACTGCCGTTGTTGCTTCGGCTCTTCCTCCTACTCTTCAGGTCCTTCTCTTCTGGGCGATGTCACGCTTGGAAGCAGCCTGTCTGCGATATGGAGGCAGCTGCTTGGAAGGTTTTCGCACCATGTTGTTGGAACCCAGGGTTGCGACCCGAGAACGCAAAATCCACGCGAGCCGCAGCCTTGGGACTAATCAAGACATTGCATCATCATTGGTAAACGTCATCTTCATGTCTCACTGTTTGCGGGCGGCGTATGGCATGGTGCTGGGATTTGTTTCGCTACTCCGTTCCTCCAAAGTTAGACCTCAACTTGATAGAACTCCTAACCCAAGGAAGAAGACTTGAACAATGCTTAGAAATCCAGCCAAGACTACAGTTGATTGCGATTCCTGTATGGGCCATAGTGGGGCCCTTGGATCCCTCATACTCATTCAGCTCCGGACTGAAAATCTGAATCCTCAAAAGCTAAGTTATATTAAATGCCTCTTGATGCAGAGCCCCTTAAGCAACTCATGCCGAGATGTGGGAGTTCACAGACAAAGGGGGACCCCTCAGGTTACCCAACATACTATGGACCTTATAATAGGTACACAGAAGGCAGACCCCTGATTTATGGAAACCCTCATACGCGCATGTGACAGAACGCCTCTGTTTTTTCAAGATGCGCGTGGACTCGCCGCACCCGCACCCGGGGCAACGAGGAGGAGTTTTTCTTGAGGACAGCCCAACGGCGGCAGTCAGCAAATGGGTTCAGGTTTGACCAGGGGTCGGGGGGAAGGGAGTTCATGTGAAAAGGACAGCCCCAGTTTGGAATATCGGCTAGATCCACCCGACTATGGCCCCCTTCCCACACAAGCAGGGAACCCTCCATGATAAAAGGCATCCAACACAAACTGGGGCTCTACGGGATCCTTTAGTGTTCTTCAGTTCTTGTTGCAGACAGTGTAGTAAAAAGGAGGATAGGGGCGGTGGGTCCCACTTTGTCTTGGTTTGTGCAGGGGTACAAACACTTCCACGTTATTGGATCCCTGAATAAGTATGGGGAACTGTTTCTGAAAAGCTTCAGTTGGTTGGAGACCTCACGCTGATGGGCTTCAACATTTGAACTTCAAGTGTATGAGAAATGTACTTAAGAGTGCTACGCCTGCTTGAGCAACATTTTCATCAAACCCGCGTACCTCTTGGCCGATATTGTTCCTCAGCTTGGCAGGACACAGATGGCGAGGCCACCTGTGGAGTTTGGGTCATGAACTGGTAGGCTAGCAGTAAGTGGTACTGGCGAGCTGATGCACTCATGGTTGTGCCTGCGTTGCGCTTTGCCCCAGCCCGTGGGCCATGTGGTTTGCAATGTTTCTGCAGGATGATGAGAATGATGAGAATGGTGATGAGCCGGTGCCCCAATCCTGTGCCGAAAAACCTTGAAGCCTTTGCTCGGGCACAGCTGGTCTGACTGGTGCAGAGCTTTGCTGGTCGGGAAGATCCTGGCATTTCATGCCAGTCTACCAAGGGATGCGGAGTCAGAGGATGACAGCAAGGCAAAAGTTGAGAGCCTAGCTGTTGTGTCCCGTTAGGATGGAGAAGAGATGTGCCCTGTGTGAAGGGCGACGACGTGGAAGAGAAGCGGCGGCTGCTTAGAGAGAGGTGCGGCGTGCAAAGCCCAAGACGAAGTGCTTGTATCAAGACGTTGCTCTGAGAAATGCATGCCGCCTGTATGGACCAGGCAAGCCCAAAAAGTGGGTCGAACGCGAAGGAACCAGAAGACTCGCATCGTCCATCACTTGGTGTATTGACTGAAGTGAATCGGGTGCACGTGCATTAAGTAAGTCGCACATGGGAGTATGAGACCGTCCATCTTGAGAAATACTTCTAATTCTTCATGATCCGTGAAACAGCCAATGTCACAATCCCAGCATATCCATGTCTAAACTCCTTGTATCCCCTGAAGATAGAGTTCAGAATTCTCTTTAAACAATTTAGACTAGGATGCAAGTGGGAACAGCTTGCTATCAAAAGGTTCGACGATGCAACCCCGATCCGGGCCCCAGTCGCGTCCTTAGAGACTGCGTGAATGGAGGTTTCCCAAAATTCGGGGTACCTTTTAAACGGATTAAAGGGGGATATAGGGTTATATAGGGTTTAGGGGTCTCCAAAATTCAGGGTACCTTGTCGAGGCTAGTATTTTGAGATCTAAAATGGGGTTCCCCTGTTTTTGGGAAACCACCAAAGCCTTCTATTGTCAAGTTTCAGCTGCAGGTTGCTCATAGCATTAAAGTAGTCTGAACTCAAGAATAGGCACAGGTTACAGGTTATTTGAGATTATTGTTCCTGCTACTTATTGAGTCATGCTACAGACAGATAAAGTCTTTCATGCTGCAGAGCCAGGACGATTGGCGGACAAAAAGTGGGTTGCATAGGGATAATGGAGGAGAGAATAGAAACCACTAGAAGGGGTTATACAGGGATAATGGAGAAGAACATAGAAACTACCTCAATGCGGTTGTTGAGGATGATTGATTATATTTCTTGCTGCTAGCGATTGCCAGTCTTACGGCATTGTTGGGATGATCCTCAACAACCCCATTGTAGTAGTTTCCATTTTCTTTTCTATTATCCCTGTATAACCCATCATAGTAGTTTCCATTTCCTTGTATCCTTTGAATAGTAAGTTATGATATACGTACTAGAATATACAATAGAGAGGCTGCAAGCCTTGTTTCGTTTGGGCTCTCTCTCGGAGAAGGGCTCCCGCCTGCGCCTTGCGTGCCATGAGGCAAAGGCTGTGGAGACCCTCACTGCCAAGCCTGCAGCAAGAACCGCAAAGATACGAAGAAGGCCAATGACTGAAAGGCCCGTTGACAAATTGCTCCCTACCATCGGCCTGGTTGGAACGGCTTAGCCTCATTGTGTTTGTCGGAATATGAAATGCCCGCGAGGCTGTTTCTGACGCTTCAGGCAGCCAGGACGTTTCTTGCAGTAGTGATTAGGTGACATGGAAGATCTCAGCCCGACGACAGGCATGTTGATGGACACATAGTCGACTTTAAAAGTGCCACAGTTCTGCCACCCTGTCGCGGGCTAATCTTCAGACTCTGGGAGTTCGAACGCATGGTTTGCCAGCAGGGTGTCATCAATGAACGCGTTGAGTTCTTCGAACCTCCCGTGCTTGTTTTATTGACGAGGAAAGGGCCCACCAGCCTGTCAAGTTGGCACAATGCTGCCAAAGGGATACTTACTGTTGCTGGTTGTTAGTAGGGAATAGCGGAACATGATCCCCACATAATATATACTCCCTATTCCTTACTAATCCCCAGTTGGGAGAACACAGATGAATTGACCGTGATTTATGCCCTGCTCAGTGGTCTTGTGCTTTTGTCCCCTTAACACTTGGAGGGGTGGCGGAGTTTCGTAGTAGGACAGGTGGCAATGACCAGCCCCTGCAGTGAAGTGTTTGCAAAATGCCAACATGCAAAATAGCGCTCTTGAGCAACTGGGTTTGGCTGAGATGCGCGATTTCAAGATAGAGGGCTATTGCGTTGTGTCGACGCAGAGGATGATGATGAGGATGATGATGATGATGGTGATGATGATGATGATGATGACGGTGTTCTTGCCTGCCTGGACAGTGATACTCGCTGTCTTTGCAGATTCGCCATGCGCCAAGCGCACGTGCCATCAACAGAACGAGCCCGAACGAGCAATGTTTCATAGGCTTGCATGTCTGGCTCGCTGCGCGTAGGGACCACGATATGACATGCAAAATCCTGGGCCATGGGATCAGCCTCACTATTCAACTTGTCATTAGCTTTGAAAGTTGCCGACGAGTGAGCGGTGGGGCACTGCGATGAATGGCCATGGGTCTGGTGTGGATGCTGAGGCGCCTGCACATATCTAGCCGGCTACAACCCTCAATTGCTGCCAAGTCTAGTGGATCCTGACTGTCCCTGTCTCGATACCTCCAGCCCTTGATGTTCCGCAGCCAGCAACTATGCAAGCCCTGAATGGACTTTCAACCTGGAAACCACACAAAAAGGCAGACAAGCTGAAAGCCGATGGGAACGGGAAGCTGAAGGCAAGGTGGCTTACCTGACTGCAAGCGTTTATTCCTTGCAAGCACTTTGAGGTTTACTCAAGCTTGTGCTCAGGCAGGGAAGACGGCCGAGGCCTTGACGGCATATCGGTCGGCGTTGACTCGTCTCGAGAGCAAGGGCAAGGCGCACAGCCAGCAAATTCGGGCAGCCCTTTGTGATAGAACTACCTAACACGAAAAGTATGGTTGCTGTGGAGGCATGTTTCAAGTCTTGCTTGAAGCGCTTTCGTACAGACTGACGACCTGAGCAGATTGAGGTAGCTTCATGACTGTGGCCGGACTGATTTAGAAGGGGCTCCTCCGACACGTGTCTGAATCGCATGTGCTCCCCGCGATTCGGTTCAAGAGCTCCACCGCAGCTCTCAATCCATATAGAGGAAATTGGTCGCTTACATTTCGGCGGCCAACCAAGTCATGCTGGTCTCTCAGCACAACTCAACACTAGGCAGTCTGCCACAAAGCTTCATCACCACCTCCAAGACAACACTTGTACACCACGACGCAGGTGCTTATCATTAAAGCACATGGGCTATCACATAGGGCACACTTCGAGCCAGACGCGTCGTGTAGCACCTCAACCGTTCACAGCCACTTGCAGGCCTGGCATCTGCCATTTGTACCCCAATTTTTTCCACGGGCTCACACTGTCTGGTGCAGCAGCAACATTGCTGCGCGGTCCGTTCCTCGGAAATTCTGAACATGGTCAAATTGACAGGCCAATATGAGCCATAGTCAAAACTCCTCAAAGGGGGGTCATACAGGGATTATATAGGGGAATACTATAGGGATTACTAAAGGGGATACTAGGAGTCTAGACTATAGCTCATATGATAAACATGCATCCCTCATGGCAGACTGCAGCAGCATTCCCGAAGAAATCCCTTGCGTAGATGTGCCATTGCTGTCCGTCTGACCCATTCTTTTGGGCAAAAGCGAACGGCAAACTTTGTGCTTAGGGATGGTGGCGGCGGCAGGCAGGTCATTTGTTCGACTTCTCTTGGCTGATTACCCTGTCTCCATTTCATTTTCCATTTCTTCTCCGTTTGAATCTCCATTATTGCGGTAATATCCCTGCATAATCCGGATCTATATACTTACATGCATACAAAAACAGATATGCATCATCATTTTTGTGGCAGCGTTGCTGGCAGGCTGCCGTCATCCGCCTAAGGTTTTTTTGGCCTTGTTTCTCCGACAACGCAGGCGGCGACTCTCGACTACAACAGATCTTGAGGACCAGGCGCCAGCATGCACCAACTTGCTTCCCTTCACCGCGACGGTAGCAGGTCAAGGGCATACGTAATCTTAGCCTTCGACGTGGTCCAAGGTTACTCCGGTCTGAGGGAGCTGAGAATAACCACTGTCGGCCTCCCAGGAATGGTTCGGAAATTCCACAGAACACCGTTTTCCTCTCCCTGCCTCGAGGCTTTACAAAAGAGGCCTCGAGAGGAAGTGCTGATGCCGGCTTCAAGCCTCTCGCTGCAAGTCCCCAGGAGCCGCTTGCATCAGCTTGCTGTGGCGTTGGCCTACAGCAAACTCGCAGGAGGAAGGGGCGCCAGATGACGCTGCCGTTGGGAAGCTCTTCTGCATGCACAGTGGAGACACTCCCCCGCCACGGCCTAACAGCGGGAAGACTGCCCTGTGGAATCAAATTCTGATGCGTGTTTTGCAAAAAAAGGCCCTCGCCGCGCAGCAGCAGTGACGAGCTCGACTTGCACAGTCAAGCTTTGGTCGCATCCGCTTTCACTCCCTGGCCACTTGCTGAGGTGCTCACCCTAGCCCTGAAGCTGCCAAATCCGGCAGTGACAATGAGGCGTGGTGACCCCGACAAGTAGGATCTTCTTTTCCGCTTGCCATTAGGTGACAGATTGCATGTACAACCCTATATCACAGTGTATACTCCTGTATACCTCTATATATACCTATATAACCCTATATACCGCTATGTAGCCTTTCTTGAAGTCAGAGCATAGGGGTTGTTGCACGCCTTCTGCAGGCAGAAAGCACTGATGGCCTACCGGACAGCCAGGTCGGCCGGTGTCAGACCTGCTTTAGAATCATAAGGGGACCACACAGATACTATACAGGCGTTATAGCGGGACTGAATAGGGGCCATATAAGGAGTATATAGGAGGGTTATGTAGGGTTGTGAGCATGTCCACCTACCTCCATAGAATCAAGGCTTGACCTCGTGCTTCTAGTCAGGGCTATCTGCTAGCCGAGAGAACTAGGATCAGATCTCACGGGCACCCAAACCTTGCTGGGAGCATATAGTGTGCCGGGGTCTAATCCATCATCCAGACATGTCCAGTTCAATCCAAGCGCGTCCAACAGTAAGTGCAGCAAAGGAGGTCGGTGATGGAGATCTATCGCACTACGCCGTCACCTCATTCATATGCAAGTGCTGTGCCACAAGGGGATGCCACAAAAATTGGGAAGACGGGGCGCTTTGCGGAAGACCATGCTTTTAGTGCAAGGCACACCGTAATGGAATTGAAGGGCATGGCCAGAACAAAATCAAATGCTGCTGACGCGTTGCGGCAAGGACTGGCAGTTCGAGCTGATGAACAGCCTTGTGCTTATGTCATTCGCAAGATCCAGCTGTTGAGATCGAGTCCGGAACTTTGCTTTCGCCACGCTTTGGCTTGAGTCAGGCATGCCCAGAGAGAAGGCCCTGGAACTTGCCCGGGTCCTCAAGCGCTCAGAAAAGGACTGCCTGGTGTCAGGGGCTGCCATGTGGTTTTGGCTGACGGGTTCCGAAACAGCCGGTGGCCGCGACCGAAATCAAAGTCAATTTTTGCATGAACACTCCTGATACCTGGCCTTTGCTTAGCCATTTTCAATGTTTTTTTGAGTCTAACCAGTTGGAAGTTACCAGGCATAGGCCTGCAGGTAAAAGTTGCAATCACAGTCACTACCACCCTGTGCAATACAGAACAGGCCTCGTGGCATGCTGGTCTGTCGCTTTGTGCTTGCTGCTTAAATGTTAGAACTTGTGCTGCAGGGAACACGTATCAAAGCCTTAACTGCAAGAGCTAGTCGCTGTGGCTCAGCAGTATCTCCAGAACATGTCCGAAGTTGCAGGAGAAGGTCCTAGAGAGCCGTGACCCCAGCATGCCCCAGCATCCTATCAACACTCGATTATTTTGCGTAGAATGCTGGCATCCATGCCGTAGAAGCCAGCTTGGACTGCATGTCTCCCCAGAATTTGAAGCTTTGCTCCAGCAGCCTGTCTCAGGCGCAAAGCTCCGGCAAGAAGTTGTGGAACTAAAACGGCAGATGAGCAGGCTGCGTAGTGTGCCGTCCCTCCGCATGCACTGGAACTCCTTGCAGGGGGTGATTCTTGAAAGAGCAGCAAGACGGAGACGCTTTTGGCAGAGCTGCTTGATTCGGGACAGGTCATCATCAACTTCGGCGGCCTCAGCGGCTTCGACGGCTAGCGTCTCAGATCGACTTGACTCAAGTACAATGTCAACCTGAATTTGTCGTTGCGCAGAAAACTCGATGCATGCCGCTTCTCTCCATATTGGTCGCTCTGGTGGCGGTGGCGTTCGCGGCGAACGCTGGGGTCCTATCGACATGTGCTTTTGGCGTCTCTGGGCGCATTGGGGTCCGCTCTTTGGCAAGGTCATGCCGCCATTGGAAAATTTCTGGACGATGATAGACCACAAGGCAAGCCGAGTTGATTCACGTCCTAGTTACTTTCATGCTCAGAACACGCCAGGGCTTGCACTCGCCACAACATGTCCTCTTTCAACAGCTGTGGCAATCGGACGCTTTTGTTCATTTTGCCTAGCCAGAATCAGCGCGAGGGTGAGTTGTCTTTTGGCCTGCAGAGCAAATAACGGCGGGGCAGGTCACAGATGCATCGTCAGCTCAGACAGTCGCGCGCCCTGCATCGGCACCTGAGCTTGCAAAGGGATTGGCATGCTGAAGCCTGTCTGACATCTTCACATAAGCCATGTTGAGTTCCAGGTGCCATCTGCTTCCACCACGGAGGAGGCAGAACACGTGCCTGAGAAGGCCAGATCAAGTTGCCTCCTTCTGATGAATTTCGTTGCTTTCCAATCTTGCCGTTCTTTCTCTTGACCCGGGCAGAGGCGCAAGCCGTGCCCGCAGCAGCGACTGAGCCAAGCATCCCGTCTGAGCCTGTACTCGCCGCATGGCTGCTGATAGTTTTAAACATCTGTCTGGCAATTACGCACTGCGCTGACCGTGCAGTGCGGCCCTCAAAGCACTGAGGAAGTGACCAGCAAAGTCATGAGCCCGGAGGAGACCCCTGCGGCCACCGTGACGACAACCACAACAACATCTGCCGAGACGGCCGCAACTGCCCCGCCTCAGATCCCTCCAGCACCTCGGCCAGCCTTTCTTGCAATTTTATTTTGGTTTGGTTTGGGTCTCTGCGCCTACTACCATATATATCATGGCTCGTGCCCTGCAGTTTTGCTCATTGTTCCTCTTACCAGTTTGGATTCCCCCCTTCTTACTATTATGACGCTTACTGCTACTCTGACAACAATGGCAATGACGACATCCACAAGAATTACGAGCTGTGGCCTACAACGATAAACGACGGTGACCGCTGCCACAGCTGCAGCACTCGCATCTTAGCGCTCTTGTTGTTCTTGTTGCGCTGAAAGATGTAGGCTGCTTGATGTAGTGTAGTGCACGCATGACACACGAACAGTGGTTGCTGGGTAAGCTTGCATCGGGTGGCTTCAATTTTCCGATCAGCTGCACCACCCTCAAACTGCGATAGCTTGCAATGCCATGTCACGAAGTATTGGTCCGATTGTTCTTCTTGTCGTTGTGATTCAGTGGTTGCTATTGTCGCGTTGTTATCGGCAATAGCGCAGATGGAATTCTCGCCATCATCAGTACTATCAAAGCAGTGGCGGAGGCAGCAGCAGCAGCAGCAGCAGCCCAAACCTTAAGCCAGATTACTTGTCTGCACCAAGGCTCCTCGCCAAGTCCGCCTTTGGGCCGCAGAGGCTCGATCCTTGAGTTTTAGTGCCGGGGATCTACCGCAATTGTAATCAGGTCTAGGAGAGGATGAGTAAGTTCTGCCTTCGTTGGGCCCTGTTCAGTAGACGGTCCCTGAAAGCTTGTCAACAATCGTTGCAGCTTCTGCCACCTGTGATCCTTTGGATTCTTGGGGCTTGGAAGGGAGGAGGGCGCAGGCCCATGTGGATGGCTTTGCTATCAACGCACCTAAGCTGTTCATTCACGGCTGTTCACGCATCTTGGAATTCTGCAGGTCAGCAAGAGCTTCTCCAAAGTCGAGCTTTGGCATCAAGCGCTTTCGCAGGACACCGTCTGGCACAAGCTCATGCGAGCCATACATGTGACTTCGTGCACCACGCAAGATTTTTTGCTACATTTGTTTTTCTCCGGCGCCATTTTGCTTTAGGATCCGACGGCCATTGGCATGGTCGAGGCCGGAGCCTGCCGCACAAATGAGAATGTAAAGGTGTGATCACAACTAGATCGGCTCCTGGCACGGTGCTGCATGATGCTGCGTGCCTTCTTGTATCCTGGTGGCCAGCACGCATCATGAAGGATGGGATTCTTCAGAAACTTCCCTTCTGCCGCTTCTGCCAGCTACTTTTCATCCTGACAGGCTGACTTGGGAAAAGCCATGACCTTTTTCCCCAAGGTCACGCAGGCCGGCAGAACGGTCATGCGGAATAACGCCCATGACCAAAGCAGAACATCATCTGACAAGAGAAGAAGGGGCTCAGCAGCCTTTGTTGAACATGTTGCTGCAGGATTTTTTACTTGTGAGTCGGCTTTGGGATGCTTTGGGCATGTGCTGGCACCCACTATTTGCAATGTTGCGCCGCCAGACTTTCCGCTTCGCGCAGATTTTCGTGACGAGGAGCCTGCTGAATAACAAGCAGGCCAGCCGAATTGCGCATAATGGCGCAATGTCAGAGAAGATAGAGTGCAGTAGTTGAGCTCGGTGAAGGTCGCGATGCAAGCGAATTTGAACCTCGTCAATACTGGTGCTGCTGCCTGGCCTCCCACTACCAGGCTGAGGCCCAGCTCACAGAATTCAATTGGGCTTGTGCAGGTCTGCCTAACCTGGCAGTCTGCGGTTGCTTGCGTCGAGCCATCTTGACTGTGAGGCTCATCCATGGAGCAGGGATGGGCTTGTGGGGCCTGTGGCTGCCTCAGCAATGGGCCCTTTTGGAGCGGCGGAGACCCCGCAAGCTGTTGCAGCTTAGGGAGCTTGGGCAAGCCGTGATGCCTGGTGCACAAGTGGAGCTGTCACTGCAGCTCGAGGCTTCACATTGCTGGCATCCCTGCAACGAGTGTAATCAGGAATCCAACCATTGGCAGGTGCCCAAAAGGGGCGAAGGCGACGGCAGCAACTTTGCTCGCCATGCCACGAGCCTAGCAACTGAGCAACTCCTGCCAGCTTCTGATTCCAAACAGCATGCACCACCACATTTTTTGTGCTTACATAACTATCTGTCGGCAGGTCCCGGAACAGTCAGGCAGCATTTAGGGGCAAAGGCCTTGCAAACGGACAAGAACAGCCCTCTGGATTTTCAGAGAAAGAGCAAAGCATTTAGGAAGAGCGGTCTGGATCAACTGTTGTCACAGACCAGGTTTGGGTGTTGGCAGATTCCAACAATGAGCCATTCGGCCCCTTGCTTGTGGCAGAGGCCACCGCTGCGTTAGTAAGCTGGAAGTGCAGCGCACAAAGGGGCTGCCAACTGGTTCCTGAGTCACCAAAGCAGCTCTCCAACCTAGAAGTCTGCCACCCCTTTTTTGTCCTTGCGCCAGGTGGTGTGGTTGCCCTGATGTGACGGCACCGGCGCATGCCAGAATTAGATAAGTTTGTATGCAGCAGTAGAGTAGGTGCCAGGATGTTCGCAGCAGTGCGAGTGCGGCTAGGATCCACCATGAAGGATTCATCCTTCGTTCCAGCATTGCAAAACATCTGAATGGGATCAAGCAGAGAGATGCTCTTGCACCTGAAGCACTGCAAGCAATTGCTGTGAGCACTGCTGTGAGCACTCGAAAGCGTGCTTGGTGTTGGAGCTTCCTGCTACATGCACATGTTGCACGTACTGATGCTAACTCGGAACTCATGTCGAGCTTGCAGTACAAGCTTAAGTTAGCTTAAGTCAGTTGAGCCTCCAATGTAACATGGTAGGCCGGCATGAAGCAAGTGAGCTCCCCAAGCTCAGCTAGTTTCAAGGGCCGGTGCAGAGAAAAAGACAGCTCCCCTTACTAGGGGCAGCCAGAAGATAAACATCCCCAATCTGAAGCTTGGGCTGCTTGCCGGGCCTTGAGAAGCATGACCCAGCAATCCTGCGACTTGACGTCGCGGAGTGCTACGCTGCCAGAGCTGTCCCACATTGCAGCAAGAAGCTGCAGCTTCGAAGCTACTGCAGCTAGCTTTTTCTTTGTTGTGCCGGCAAGGTCTTTGCTGACAGGTCCCTCGCCTTCTTTGCCGTGGAAAGGAATTGTGCTGTCATACAACAGGTGGAGGGCGCGAAGTGATCCCCTAAAGTGGCCGTGCCGGAATGGGACGCCAGGGGCAAGAATTGATTTGTGCCGCGTTGTATGTTGCACGCTGCGGCCTGGCTGCATTTTGGGCCCGGCTGTGTCCCTCCTCATCCCCTCCATGCAACCCTCCACGGCCAGGCTTCAGCCGCGGCTTCCTTGCATAAGTTTTTCGTTTCACCCCGTTGTGGGAACCCAAGTCGTACAAAACCCCCACAAGAAGCCTGAGGACCACACCAAGCAAATCCAAGCACTCTGATCATTTGTTCCTATTGGTGGAAGCACTCTTTCTTGGAGAAGCCGCCGCCAGCGACTTTCAAGCTGGACGCTGCAAGAGCAGCAATCGAAAAAAACAGCTGCATGACGAGAGCCTGATCCTTCCCCTTGCCTTTATCTTACTGGTGGTTAGTAAGTTGGGAATAAGGGAATATATGTCTTATATAACCCCTGTATAATATATTCCCGTATTCCCTACTAACCCCCAGTAAGTTATTGGCTGTGTCTCAACCAATTGGCCACCGTCAGATTCCGTTGGGCAGTGCGGCGGCAAGCCTTGGCATCTCAGCTGCAAGTTCTTTTTGCCAAGTGGGTGTGCCCACATGGCTGGGCTCTGCTTAAAGATATACAAGAATATATTATAATTTACCATAACATAGTATAGTATAGTATACTGTACTATAATACACTAGAATATACTATAGTATAGTATATAACCCCAGTATATACCCTAAAATTACCCCAATGGGAACCTCATTTTGGGCATGTTGTGAATCTGCTTTTGTGCCAGCAGTGTGTAACGCACTTGCCAGGCGCTTCCTTGAATCTCAATGCATCCCTGGCTTGTCTCCGATTGGAGGACCAGCAACTTGCCACAGTTCAAAGCTGGGGCGCTCAACACACATTCTACAATTCTAATGCCAATTCCCTCAGACATGAGTTCTGCCTGTAGCCCAGCTAGCTTGACTACCCCAGGTCGTGTGTGGCCTCATGACTTGTCTTGTTTAAGTTGCCCGCCCCTCTGCAGAACTGTTGCCATTGTGGAGTGTGCTCTGCCAGCAGGTCCTGATACCCAACTGCATTTTTTTTGCCGAGTCTTGATCCGAGCAGGACTGGGAGGCAGCGGAGGACTTCGCCACCCGGGCACTGCGACTGGGCCGCAGCAGCAAGGCAGGAAGCTGGGCTTGGGAGCCAAAAAGGGACTATCCAAGAACTTGCTTAGCTTCAGCGTTTAGATGTTGAAAGAAGGGCCAGATATGGAAGTCGGAGGGCGGGTTGCAGCATTCTCGGGAAACACCACTTGCTGCTAGTCAGTCTCTGTCTCTCAAGTTTTCATGAGTTTCAGATTAGTACCTGAGGAAGGCAAGACCGCAATAGCAGCTGCCATAGAACAGCACTAGTAAAGCCTCGGCAGCTCTGCCTCCGACAGGGCTTCTATCGGCGGGGCCTGGCCAGAACGCAACTTGGAGTCGGACGCCCATCCCTCCTCGTGGGATTTGTGCGACAGTAGTCTCTCTTTGTGTGCATATTTGTACAAGTACAAGTATATTGTCTGTGCATTTATTTATATGTATATATTCATGCGGAAAAAGTATGGTATGGTGTCAGGAACGTGGTAGGCCAGACAGATGGCTGAATGGTTGCTACTAGCGTGGTGAACTCGTGGCTTACGATCACGCTTGGTATTGCTACCTAGTCACTGTACTTTCAATGACTATCATGACTACTGCCATTGGTCCGGTGTGGCGTGCTTTTTTGTCTGGTTGTGTTGATTCTTGCCACGCGCTGGCTAAGACATCTCTGCTCTTTAACTCTGTAACCTGGAAAACGAGAATGTAAGGTTGCGGCAGATGCAAAACGCGACTTCGAGAGTGCCTTGGAGCCAGAGCCTAAAGGGAAGAGACTTGAAGCTGTTGAAGGCTTCGACTTGGCTGGACGCGCTGGACCAGGGAGCTCTAGGTGTTGGCATGTGTAGTAATCAGGCTTGAGCCCAAGGGCGATGGAGCTCTGTCTGGACCTGAGCTTTTCCTGGAGCCATGCGCGGGCTGCGACCGTTGAAGTTGACCAAGGATGGTCCGAGCCGAGCTGGAGAAGTTGGCCGCTAAGGGATCTGGCGGGGCTCTGCTGGCACGGCTTGCTCTCTGTAGCGGCGGGTGTGTTGAATGTGCTCTTGGTACGCGGCTTCCAAAGTGCCAGACTGGATTTGAAGCTCCAGCAGAGGCTGTACTGTCCTCAGTTGCTGTTGGCGAAGGTCTTCGCAGTGTAGAGCGCAGAAATCATGGAGCAACGCTTCGACGTGAGCATTCGCACTTTATCTAGGGAGGCACACTCCGCACAGACCATGGGATCTTGCCCCGCAGTGACTTTAGCATGACATGTTCCGTGTCTAAGCCTAAGGATCCCCAGGAAGCCAAGCGATTTGAGGCCGGGTTCGCCGGGTTCTGAAACCCCAGCATAATGGCGTAACCCAGTGTATTGGCTACTACGTGTCCTGGGAAGCAATTTTTGGTATTGCGCTGCATCTGAAGATGAGATATAAAAGTCACATTGAAAAGCTGGGTGCGGAACACCAGATTTTCCAAATGACATGAGCACTCGGCCCGCTCTGTTTCATGCTGTTGCTGCTGGCTGGTACCATAGCCATTTCTGGCAGATGGCGAACTCCAGCCGCAAACAGCAAGGGCAGCGCCAGGTACCCCTTACATGCAGTGCCAGAAAAGGGTTTTGTAAACAGAGCCAGCCGACGATCTTGCCAGGTGACGTGGAGGGAGTGGCGCGCCATGCAAGAGCGAATCGCAGGGGCTTCAGAACAACATGTACACGCAGGGTGCAGGTTCATCACACAGCAGGAGGGCTTTCTCAGTGAAAGTGCTACGGGCACTGCCGGGGTGGGCCCCAAGGCTGCAGCTGCCACGGGTGCTCAAGCCTGGCGGAAGCGGCTGACAGAGGCTCTTGATACTACCCCCGGCATGCGTAAACAAGACTTCCACGAACATGAAATGTCCTTGAATTTGACCTGCCTTAGACCATCTCAGACCTTGTTTGGGGTGGTGCCGTGTAGGGTGGCGGCAGCATAGGACCCATAATCCCAGGCATAAACAAAGCTGCTGACTGAAGTCTTGTGCAATCCGGAGATGTTGTTAAATTAGACCTGTCAGGGGGTATCCTCCCAGAACGACTGCTTCGACCGTCTGTAAACGGTATGTTTGGGGGGATGGACCTCAGGGACGGATCCTCGCTTGGGTGTGCCTAAAATCGAGTCAAGCGACTTAAGCTCACTTCAAAACAAGACTATAGGGGTTATATTGGGATAATGGAAGAAAGCTTGGAAGCTACTATTGTATATTGGGGTTATGCGTGGAAAATAAAATGGAAGCTGCTATAGTATATCGGGGTTATATTGAGATGATGGAAGTTAAAATGGACACTACTATAGTATGTTGGGGTTATATTGGGGTTATGCGGTGGATTATATAGCGGACGCAAAGGCTTGACAAAGTAGAGTCTACCTCCAACTGTCGCCATCGCCTTGAATCATGAAACATGATTTTGTCAGAGGTTCACTACGTGCATTGATGAGGTGCTAAATAACACGCCTGCCCTGTGCCTAGCAGTCTGCTGCTTTCCATCACCCTGCAGGTGACCAAATGCAGTCCTCAGGAAGCAGGACTGAGGGAGCTACAGATCTTGCTCTGTCTTGGGGAGGGATTCGATTTTAGCAGGGTGTGCTTGGTGCAGGAGATTCAGCTGGTCGAGCCTCTTTGTCGAAACTAGTCGTCCGAGCCCCAACTAGCAGAGACGTTGATCGCAAGAGCAGAAGCACAGAAGCGTGGGATGGGCAGCCTAAGGATGGCTTGGCAAGCAAACCTTGCCCGAAGAGGTTCCATTTGAACATCCCTGGCCCTTGCTCTGCAGCATTCTGCATCCTTCGACTGTTGCAGGGCTCCTGCTGGCGAGATTGTCCTGGCAGAGGAGCAGGCCGACCTTTAGGATGCTCTTGTGCAAGTGTTGTGCCTGAGACAGCACTGAGCAGCTGCTCCGGCAACTGTTGCAGCAGAGCCCATATACGTTTCGGCAAGGCCCTGGCAGCGACCGAGATCAGCTCTGCAGGAGAGCTTCGGAGAGTGCAGGTGACAAAGGTAGAACTCTGGCAGGATACGCTGCTTCCAAACCAGTGTGGTTGCTCGCAGTGTCTGCAAGTCTGCATCATGGCGAATGTGTGTGGCAGCTTGAAAAAGACCAGACAGTGGTGATTCCCCCATTGTAGGTTAATTTCTGGAACAGAACTCGCCGGTTTGCAGAAAGCTGCTCTATAGGTACCAGTCCTTTGACGGGCAACTTCCTGAAACAGCAGGAATCCGCGGCAACGAGGGCTCCGGCGTGCAGTACTTGCTGCCTGGGCCGTTCCAAGACTTAGCACCTGTTCCACGTGCTGCGAATTCTCGAATAGTTGCAGATAGTTGCAGAGAGCAGTCTTCGATTAGGCTTGACTGTTTGTACCAGGGAGTACTGACTTGGCAACTTGTGCCATATGTGGTTCTCTGGCTCGAAACAGCGTTGCAAAGGCAAGAATGAACGTGCATATGGCTGCGGGCTTCTCATGATACAGCTAGGCATCACTGGAGCATCAACTCGGGCCCGCGCGCGCAAGAGGCGTACGCCATCATCCGGCCAACCTGAACCCGAAGCAAGAACAGTAAGCCTTGGCTACCGAAGCTTAGCACGCCATGGACAGCCGTGTCCACGAGCTGCTGAGCCAGCTTGGGCAGGAGTATGATAAACAGGCCACCGAAATACGGAGGCTTCGACTTGAAGTTCGCAGATTCGGTGGTGTGCCTGGGCTGAGATTGTACACTATGGTAACGTATCAAGATCATCCTAGTACAATTGCAGTAGCTTGATCCTGGGGTGCCGAGCTTCGCGTCGAGGACTTGGGATCCACTTCGCCGGCAATCGCTCCGCCATCAACACCAGATGTCCTTCCGTTCCCCGAAGATGATCCCCCAGGCGCCGGTCCAGCTGGTCGCTTTGTTAGACGCAGGTCGAGCAGGCTGTGCGGCCATCAAGCACAGGACATTCAGAATTGTTCGCCCCGGCCACATGTGCCTGGCCTTCCGCCCTTCTAACACCCAAAACAGAGTCCCAATTGTGCGGACGATGTTCCAGACCATGAGAAGGCTCTACAAAGAAAGCCGTTTGGTAGGGTTCTATTGTCTCCTTGTACCTACCTGACCCCCAAATAGAACCCCGGTTGTGCTGGTGATGCTCACGCACGCGCGCCTTGTACGCGAGCATCATCAGCACCATTTTGGGTCATAAGCCCAACAGAGAAACCGTCCAAAGCTCTGAACATGGATGTCTGCGCAATCCACATGTTCCACTTTTTGGCCATTCAGAAGCAGCAGTTGCACAGATCTAGCAGGTTAAAGTGGTGTACCATGGCAACATGGGAGTCCCCAAAGTGCAGTTCACACGGTTTAGCCTGGCTAATGCACGCAGGTCCGCTCACGCGCTTGTCATGCAGCGCAGGTGCTGCCAACAGAATAAGTCTTTTCGTGTTCCTTGCCGGTATTTACAAACACACATACTGCTGACAGTACGTATTTTGAGTATTTGCTAGGAATCACAGCGCACGCCCCAGCAGCCACCAAGAAGCCAGCATCATGAGCATCATGGGGTCGGCCTGGGCATCTAATTTCTATTTTGATACCGCATGTGGATCTAGCGCCCCTGCAAAACCTGAGGTAGGTTGAGGTGTCATAAAAGGAGAGACGAAGGCCCAACCGTGCTGGCGGAAGAAAAATTGCCCCAACAAAAACGCGCCGCAGAACCGTCATCATCTTGATGCCCAGGAACCCCGATTCAAGGTTTTTTCAGGGGCAAGTTGCGGTGCGGGCGTCACCCCGTACAAGGAATAGCATTATCTAGGCATGCATCCGCAGTGGACCATGACGGCCAGGCCGGATGCAAAAGCCTCCAGCTAATGCCGCCGACCACGAAGCACCCACAAGGGCCAGCGAATGCACCCTGATGCCAATCGGCGGTGGTGAGGTCTCGGGTTTCGGCAAAAGTGCATATTCGTGGTCATCAGATTGGCTGGCGCTTCTAGCACGCAGGGAAGACCGGTTTCAGCGTGGGACGCGGGGTTGATTCAGGAGGTTTTGTGTAAGCACTCGAATCAACCTCGCTCGCAAGCATGACTATCTGTTCCTCCTGGTACAGACTGCAGGCAGCGCTGGGCCGTCAGATGGAAGGTGCATTTTGGGATCCTTCGAGCAAGCTCCTCAAGCATATACCGCGACCTGATGCGGATGAACTACGTCCAATTCTTGGCCAACCTGCAAGCCTTGAGGCAGCGAACACCGTTGTGGATGTCATTAAAAAGCTCCTGGAGAAAGAACATGGTCAAGACCGGTTTGCTCGCCTCAATGCGTGGAAGCGGAGAATGCGCAACAACGACAAGGAGTGCTATGGTTGGCTACGTAGCAAAGCTCGTCAAGAACCTGTTCGTGTCACAGTTACTGCGGCAGGTGCGACTGCGGACACGCAGGCGCGCCTAAATGCCATCAAAACTGTTTGGGAAGGTATCTATATGCGTCTTCAACATGGTGAACCCAGGTTGGTCAATTTCATGCAGAAGTATGGGGCGACCCTCAAGCGAAAAGTTGTCGACCTTCCGCCTCTACATGAAGCTGACATGATGACGACTATTTTGGAGGCCAAGCCCACTTCGGCGGGAATGGATGGCATCATGCCAGTTGAGCTACGTAACTTGGCACAATGGTGTCCTTCGCATATAGGCGCTCTCACGGCGCTCCTGCAGAAGGTTGAGGGCTGTGGCAAGTGGCTGGGTTTGGCTACATGCGGCGCAGTGGCTTTCGTGGCAAAAGATCCTGCGCAGGTCAATCCACAAGCTGGTGTTTTTCGGCCTATCACTATACTAGCTTCTGTGTATAGGGCATGGGCTTCATGCCGCCAAAAGCACCTAGCACAAAGCTAGGTCCGGAATGGCAAGATCCTGGCACATATGGACTCCCTGGAGGTCGCGCTGCAGATGTCTTGGCTTACGAAACGTGCGCTCAGGTTATACAAGCAGCCAACGAGGGACAGGCTCAGGTGGCAGCAGGGTTGAGCTACGACCTGCGCAACTGCTTCGACACGGTCCCCATCAATCCGTCCTTGAATATCTTCCGGCAGAGAGGAGCAGACAGTGGGGTTCTAAGAGCACTGACGGGTTTCTACGATGCTCACCACAAGTATTTCAAGATTGACGGTTTTTACGCCAAAAAGTTCAAAGCGGCGAACGGCATTCTTCAAGGGTGTCCATTAAGCATGTTACTGTTGGTTTCCATGGTGACGACCTGGTTGGAGGCAGTCCGCAACAGTGTGCCCACCGCTACTCCTAAATCATTTGCAGATGACCTGTCAGTGGTTGTTCAGCACGAAAGCTTGGAACCAGTCAAACACAATCTTCGCCTGCTACACGACACCACGTGCACCTTCACTCAGGCCACAGGAGCGCAGATCAACAACGACAAGAGCTTTGTTTTTGGTCCCAAAAGTGTGCAGGGGGCTGTCCCCGATCTGCCCAACTACAAGCACACATTTCGCCTGGTGGGAGGAAGGGTGAAGCTATCTGCAGGGCAAAGCTGGACTCCGCTTGAACGAGAACTTGGCGACCGGTGGGTCCAAACAGTCAGACAGGTACGTCGACTTCCTGTAGGTTGGTTCGCCAAGGTCAAGATTCTTCGCGGTACTGTTCCTAAGCTGACCTTTGGACAAGGCACGCATACATTCCCTGTAGCCAGGGACTATATGCCTCACCTTCGTGCAGAGATGATTAGATCGCTGTTCAACATTAATGACTACTCGTTGTTTGCTCAGATGGTTTTTACACTACTGGCTCCTCCAGCTTTGGAACCTGCATTTGCAAAGCAACTGGCAGCCTTCCGTCTGGTACAGCGCGAGTACAATACACCCCAGTCACGCCGAACTTTGGTTCAGCAGCTCGCTCGTGCTCGCCAAGAACCTCCTTCTGATGGCCCTCTGGCACGGATACTACAGCTCAACAGGCTGAAGAGCGACAGGTGGCAGCATGACCTACGAGAATCATGGAGGGAACAAACGTGGAGGACCCTTGCTCGCGAGCGTGCCCAACATTTTGCTGGAGCCGAGAGGGGAGTCAACAGGAAGGCAACCTTGGCCTATCTGCAGGATTTGACAGCAGCGGCGGACGCACTACAGATACAACAGGACAGTGGACAACATGAGCTTGTTCCTCCCTCCGAGGATCCCAGAGCCAAGTTGAAGGTGCTTCGCTTGTTGCGGCATTATTCGCTGTGCCTGTGGCGGGCCGGCGCCGACAATTGAACACATCAGTTGGTACTGCAAATGCTATCACAGAGAACGTCGTGAAGCTCTACAAGTGGTACCCAATTTTCGAGGGCTCCCTGTTTGTTTTCGCCTGTGCGCGCTGGTCACTTCCAATATGAGGCTCTCAGATGACAAAGTTCGAACAGTGCAACGCTCATTGGTCGCGGTCTGGCAGGCCCACATAGCGGCCTTTGGTGATAGTGTTCAATTCCTTGCTGAGATAATCTCTGCGACACCGAGTGCTCAACCCGCAGGGCTGCAGCAGCCAGATGCAGGCAGTACTGTGTCCAGCACGCTCACGAAGCAGCCAACAGATCGGAGGGGGCACGCACTCAGAAGCTGATTCCCTCAGGGGGCGTCTACTGCCAGAAGTGTGGGAAACAAACCAAGAACATCAAGCATCAGAGGTTGAAGATCTTGAACAAAAAATGCGCTTTTCCAGACCTTCCTGTTGAGGAATGGTTGAAGGAACCTGGTGCCTTGCGATCTGTTTCCCGGCTACAGCAAGCAGAGCGAGATTTGCAAGAGCGTTTGAGCAATGGCCACAGGCTAGTCTGGAATAGGATGGTAGGGAAGCAAGAGGGCCGTGAGGACTACGGCAAGCTTTGGTGCTCTGTTTGTGGGAAGTAGTGGCCATGGAAAGACAGGCATCGAAGTGTCAGCAAAGTGCGCTGTAGACCATTGCCTAGTGCTCCGGATTCACCAGAGTGGGTCCGCGCCTTCAGCCTTGAGCAACAGAACACACCTCAACAGCAAGTCGCACAGCAGCAACACAACACTCCCCCACCTTTACCTGAGAACATGCAACAAGCACAGTTTCAGCACAATTTTCCAGGCACAGGACTGGTGCTTCCAATTCGGCGCAGGATTGTGGGCAAACGCCCAGCAGGAGATGCACAGCAATTGCAGCAGCAGCAGCAGCAGCAGCACAACAGCATGCCTGACACGGAGGTGAGAATATCAGATACGCTCACTGCCCGGCAAGGCATTGGTTGATGAGACTCAGGTTGTTGGCAGGGCTGTGGCGGCATGCTGCAGCGCTACTACAAGCCACTACTACTTTTGGGATCCTTCGGGTAGATGAGATTCCTCAACAGCCTTGGGGCAACGTACGTGCTAGCTGCATTGCACAGGCTGCAGCATAAACCTCATTTTCGACATGGCCAGTTCCGGCTTCGACTAACCTACCCGGCCAAAAAAACTAAAGCAACGGTATGCAACAATGTTATGGTTGCCCAGACATCTGGAGCTCAGCGACTGTGCTGCGCGCGTAACACAAATCTTCGCACTGCCTGCACCACGTCGGCGGTGCAGGGAAGTCTACGGTCCCAAGCTTTTGGGCCTCCCTGTTGGGTGCAGGGGCCTGGGCCGCCAGACCCGGTAGGTCTCCTTGCCCGACCCGATGGCCTGGAAGTCTTCTCAGCTAACTGCCTGCATGTGGTCTCTCGGAGTGAAGTGTGGAATAAGCATACAACGCACTGAGTTCTAGCCCGACGACCACTATGCTGGAAACCAAAGTGGCGGGGCTGTACTGCTGAACACGGTGTGTTTGCTAGGGCGAAGGCTGCAGCAAAAAACCACTAGTGTTATTGCTATTTTATTATTATTCGGCGCCCAGGCGCCGACAGTGAACTCCCTAAACCCCAAACCCCAACCACAAAGAGACCCATAAGTTTGGACAAGCCTGTGAGTGCAGGCACGTCTATGCCAGTGAGTTCCTCGTGGGATATGATGCTGCCTCGGAATGACTATGGCTGCTCCGCTGCAGTTGGGTTGGGTTTAGGGCTAAGCCTGTTGCAAAAGGAATGTTGCCCCCCCAATAGTGGAGAATCAGATGAGACAGAACATGGAACGCGAAATGGAAGCTAGGATGATATAAGGTTTTATAGGTTAGGGTTTTGATGTTTGCCTTGTCTTGGGGGATCCTACTGCACACCCCATAATATTACAATCCTTATTAAGGGGACCCATCATATGGTACCCCCCCGCCAATGTTGGGAAACCCGCATGTATCAAAACTCAGGGTCTTACCACCAAAATCTGAGGATGCCCAAGTCAGGAAGCGAGAAACTGACAGACCATTCTGAGACCCAAGTTGGTAGCAGCTCATTCGTAAGTGCACATTCAGTGACACTTTAGCCACACTCTAAAGTCCTAGTATCCCCCTGAATAACCCCTATAGTAGTCCCCTGTACGGTCCCCCATATAACCCCCCCTTGAGGAGTTGAGACTATGGCTCTCTTCAAAAAAGAGAAGTCCTGATACCTAATTATCCCTAAACAACCTTCATTAAGGGGGAACATAGGGGGTGCAGTATAGAGGGGGGTAATTGAACCCATAATATCTCCTGATAGCTCCCTAACCCCTATAAACTACCATATAATACCACTTTCCATTTTATTTTCCATTTCCTTTTCCATTTGATTCTCCCTTATTAGGGTATAACCCCCTTTAAAAAAAAGAGAACTCCTGATAGCTGAGGACGGAGTGCGGAGCGGAGCGCGGAGCTGCAAAGCTCCAGATTGAGGAGAGCTGGGAGGGCTCCCAAGGATCCTGGTCTGCAAGGTATTAGGTAGGGATGTAGGGGTTTTAGGGGTTTTGGGGTTGAGGGTTTTAGGGGTTTAGGGTTTTAGGGTTTTTTGGTTTTAGGGTTTTAGGTTTTTTGGGTTTTAGGGGTTTAGGGGTTTAGGGTTATGTTTTATCCCAATGATATGGAAAGTCGAATGGAAAATGAAAATTGACACTGGGGGTAGATAGAGGTTACCTTTGGTTAGCTGCGAATGAAGGAATTGACAAAAATGGAAACTACTACAATGGGTAGGGACTGGCATAAGGATCCATTCCTTCATTCCCAGCTAACTGAAGGTAAGGCAAAGGCTCCTAGGGATGTTTGAGAACTGGCAAGGATTGCGAGGGGTATTTTTTAGCACTATTCGCTTTGGAGAGATTCTTAAGCACCCTTTTGCAGGAGTTTTCAGGAGGTCCCTTGCTGAGTTGACAGCAAAGGCAAATCCCAGTAATCCGCTGGGCTTGAATCGCAACTTCATGGACACCACACCAAAGTACGACTTTGTCGACGAGATCAAGGCCTGCCCCTGCCTTGATGACATACCATCGGTGTGCACCCAGGGCTCAGATTCAGTCAACCTACGGGTGTACCCCACCAAAACTGATTCAGCCTCCGAAGCTCCCCAGTAAATTCTCGTGAGCTTCTACTACTATTATCACTAGTATAGTATGTTACTACTATTAATATCATTATAATTACTATTATGGTATATTCTTCCTACTGTTATCGTTTGCTGTTTTCAGTTCTTTCTCGATCCCTTTGATCCCAAGCCTCCAGTTTTGCAACAGGAGCTTCCGCATCAGAATCCGAGTCGGGCTGCAACCTTCAAGCTCAACACAGCGCTTACACGGCAAGTCAGTGCTGAGACATACGAGGTGCATCTTGCTTGGTGTTTTCACCGAGTTCTTGGCTAGTTCTTTGATCCGACATGTGAGCTACAGTCTAAACTCCTAGTATCCCCACTAATAACAGCTATATTTATAATGCTCTCTATTCAATCCCCTATGCAACCCCTTTAAGGAGTTCAGACTATAGCTCACGTGGCCTGAGCTTTGAGATGCATCTTGAGATCTGTCCACATTTTCCTCAAAGCTACCCGTGCCTACCTGCCAGGGCGACAACCAGAAGGAACTCAAATTTTCCATCCTTCGAGCTCAGAAAACGCAGAATTTCGTTGCCACAAAGTTGCTCAGCTTCAATAACAGCACATGCAGGCATCAAGCTTTTACAGTACGATTGATCCTTTCCACTCGTATCTATGTCATGTAACGAGATAGACTTATGTTGAGCCAGCTGACGCTTCGGTTCCTGGTTTTCCATTGACGTGTGTTGAGGCCCTGGTACATCATCAACCCGGACAGAAATTTGTCAGCGTCTGCTTGGCAGGCAGCGTCTGAATGGGATGCACATGTGGACATCTTGAGGGCTTCTCAGATTTGCGGACGGTTTTGTGCAGAGCGCATCAGGACAGGTAAGCCATGGACAGGAAGCGGTATTCTGCATTCTTCCTGTCTCCCTTGTTCAGTTGGCTGTCGGACTGGCCCTTGTCTTTGTCGCTATCGCTCTTCGGCTGCATCTTCGCAGTTTCAGAATTTAGAAAGTGGTCGTCAATGACTTTGATGATTCTTGCTGCCGCCGCCGCTAGACAACCTGTTGGTCACAGTGCATCCGAGCTTCCGGCAAAGGGATGGCAGATGTAAATTCCAAGTCGGTAGGCTCTTGCTCTGAGCTTCCAGACTTCGTGGAGCTCAAAGAAAAATGTGAGTCAGAAGTATGGTGGCAGCAGCAACCACACATTGGTGCAACATTGCATTTGCAGCAAGGTAAATCAGTAGCAGGTCTCTCAGTACTGGCAGCTTAGGTGACGCCCTTCCAGGTGGGCCTGCTGGAGCTTCAATTTGATGTGCTTCCTGGCTTTGACTGGACATTTGCGCGGCGAGAGATGAGGGCCAGATCATCTTCATCCAAAAGAGCGCTCAGACATTATCACGTGATCCTATCGGTGTGGCATTCAAATTGATCCCCCTTAACTACCCCTGTGAAATGGGTGAGGGTACCCCACTGTCTAAAACGGGAATCCGTACCATGAGAGGATGTTATCACCCCATTTCATTAACAAACAATTACCGATAGTATTCCTCTCCCCCCCATAATAAAGAACATTACTTTCGAATAACATGGGGGGGGTTACCCTCTTACCCTGACTGGCGCGGAGACGCGGTAAATAGCAATGTTTTACTCTACACCTCCGTGGCATCAGTGCTCGGTACCATGTCGCCCCTGTCCGAACAGTTCGGACCGAACTTGAAGGGGATCCAAATTGCATCTAAGGATTCTTGTGGTCGGCCTTGGTGTGGATTGTGTGTGGCTACGACAGCACCCAGAAATTTCTTTTGCAATCTATTTAGTTTGGGCCTTGAGGCTGGTGAGTCATGGCCCTCCATGTACAGCTCACCGTGAAATAACGGAACTCTCCATGATGCAGGTTCTTCGTCGACATGATTCTTCAGTTCTTCACGACCTTCCCGAGATCAACTACTCATGGCGTTGTTTGGGAGGTCAGGCTAAGAAAAATTTGGTGGCACTATCTGACCCCTGGCTGTGCTACGAACTGTTAGGAGCTGCACCGACCATCTGACCATTTGAGCTGCGTAGGGGCGAGCTCTCTGTTGAGTTGCGGTGAGCAAGAGGGTCATTCGCCGAGGAAGTCCTGGTTCCTACTTGATCTTCTAACACTCATTCCGTTCGACCTCTTGACCCTCGCCATCCAGTCCAAGCAGCTGGATGAGTTTCAGAGTCTCAAAGTGTCTCTTGGCCGCAGGTGCAAGGTAATCATGCAGCTGTGCCCCAAGAGCACGGCCTGCACTGCTCCGATTTGAAGATTTTTGCACTGGACAAGAACTCATGTTCGAGAAGCCCGCGCAGTAATTTTTGCCCCGACAGGTTGCGAACGCTGCGCCTGGTGAAGATCATGCGGCTAGCCAAGTCTTCTCAGCTCCTTGGTGACCTGTTTCCAGAAGTGGTAGTTGGATATTGATAGTCGTGGGGCTTTGCCTCGCCTGCGCCGTGAAAGCGGCAGCTTCGTTTCAGAGAATGTCTGACAAGGCAAGCTGCTAAACTCTGGGAAGTTCGATGGTGAAGCTTAGGTTCATGCACAAGATCGAGGTCCCCCTGTCCATTCCATACCAGCAGATGGCTCTCATGCGTTTCTTAATAATCTTGGCCTTTGTGTGCCACTGGCTGGCATGCCTTTGGGCAATGACGTTGGGACTGCAAGACGGGAATCAACCCACATGGATAGATGGCATTGCAGCAGAAGATCTTGCTCTTGGAATCCGGACACGCGACTCCCCGCTGCGGGTCTACATGACGTCTTTCTACTTCTGTAGCTACACCCTGACGTCCGTAGGCTATGGCGACATCGGACCCGCGAACCTGATGGAACGGGTCGTGTGTACGGCGATCATTCTGTCTGCAGGTTTGGTCTGGGCCTATGTTATCGGTGAGGTGGCAGCAATTGTCCATGACCTCACCGCTGAGAGCCACGTATTTCGAAAGCGAATGCACCACCTCAACCTCATGATGCAAGATCAGGGGCTTCCGCATGACCTGTGTTGCCGACTGCGAAGTTTCTTCCTTCAAAACAGGCATCAGGCCCTGGTGATGGCTCGACAGGCCCTTCTGGACCGAATGAGTCCACAGCTGCAGTCTGAGGTTTGCATCGCCACGAATTTCGCATGGCTTCAGAAGGTTCACTTTTTCAAGAAGTTCATGAAGTTCATCAACAAGCAGGAACTCAGCCCGAATGAGATGAAAAGTCTGTCTTGAGCACTTGTTGTTTGATCTCCCCACACAATGCAAGTCCCCAAGTCCCTTGAAGATGTAGAGAAAGTAGAAGTGGCAGCGGAGAGAACTCTTCCACCTTTACGCTACTATGAAGCCGCAAGCCCTGTAGGAACGCCTGGGAAGACATACAGAGCCATACCAAGCCTGTGTGGCGCACATTTCGAAGATGCTTACCTTCGGAGCCTTCGCGCAGCGAGAGGCTTTCACCAACGTCCAGGTGCTTGAAACATGTAGGGTGCACTGTCGTTGCTCAGGGAAGAGTGACGGGAAAAAGGTCATCGCAGTTGCCGTGACAACTACTTCTATTGACCTGCTACGACCAGGTGCTGTACATCCTATCCAAGGGCTTAGTGGCCCTGAACAGCAGGGTGAGATCTCATGGTGAGGTTTGGGGCGAGGATTTTGTGCTTTGGGTGCCTTGTCTTTCTCGCAGTTTGCAGTGTGGTCAATCTGAAGTGCAGTTGCATAGCTTACATGCTGGTTCTGTTTCGTCCAGCATTTACACATTACTGTGCGACAGCGCCTCCTGCCGCTGGGTACTGGCTAAGGATACTTCGTTAATCCATCCTGTGACCGGCTACACCTTGACCTACATCGAGGTTTTGTCTCTGTCTCGGGCAGATCTTATGTGACTAGGCGTGAGGACCTGGTGCAACATTTTCATGGTCCCTCAAGGCCTGCCCAAGGCAGTCCAGCTGTAGGCTAGCGTGCCTTGATGTGCCTCGCGTTTTGGAGTTCTTCACTGACGGGTAGACTCCCAAAAGCTATTTGAGGCATGTGATTCATGAATGTCGCTTCACAAGCCCGGAGCTGGGGCAGCAGCCTGGCCATACTCAGTGCCTGCGACAAAACCAACTTGATGCACCAGTCAAGCTGCTCAGGATAGTTCGACGCTACTGCGTGCGAGTCGCAGTTTACCGGGGTGTTCTCTTTGAGGTGTCGCGCTTGCTGCCGAGTTCATGTCCGCACTAGTTCATCTTTCCTGGCCCATTTCATGACCGCAGGCACGCCGTCGCAAGCGCCAGATGTTGAAGGAGCAGGTGCAGCCCTATTGCCTGGTAAAAGATGCCTGCGGGCCCTGGTAATCATGAAAAGCAGTAGGCGGTTGATGGAGTATCAGTGCGCTGAGGCGATACGGGGCGAACCAGCGGCGATGCCGCCAAGGCCGCAGAAGGATCAGCCAAGGCCCCCAGACGTCATGCAAGCTTCGAAGCGTGACTGCAGGAATCCGTCCAAGTGCCCTGCAGGCTCATGCCAGTGCAGCACATGCATCTACCCACTGATCAATTTGAAGAGGCTCTCGAGCAGTTATCACTAAGGATTGAACCAGCTGTACCGCCCGGAGCGTTGGATAACTAATTCTCCTGACAAATTTCAACGGACTGCAGAGGTTTCACTTGCACATGCCACTGGGAACATCAGTTTTGGCTCAGCGCTTCGCAGTTCAATGGTTGAATAGCAGCAATTCGTGCATGCGTAGATTTTGAGCTTAACTTCGCTCTCTTTGGCCATCTGGCTTTCGCAGGAACAGAGATAGGATTCCTATCTGTTCGTAGTCGGTATATCGCCGCTTCGAGCGCTTTTAACTCAGTTTGGGCCCTGGTCCGCGGAGGCATGGCCCCAAAGCAGCAGAATGTGCTTCCTTTAATTGAACTCATCAATTTAACCTCCAGCCACACTTTGTCGTTTCCGTCTAGACTGGCAAGCTTCAGAACGCCAAAGTGACTACTTGGAGGCCATGACTTCCCGCACGGGCATGAAGGTGCCCACGAAACATGTTGTTTTGAGTCGGCAGTGTGAAGATAAATTGTCATTTATTTCATGCAGCCGTCGACGCGCGGCCGGAGTAGACAATCCATGAGGCATTGTGAGCTGAACTGAAGATGTCTTGTGCAAAGCAGCGGTAATGCCTGTGTTTCTAGGCCACAGTTGTCTGACTCTGGGCCACCGCAAGAGGTTCAGTCATAGATGTGGGTCGAAGATCCACTCAGTGCCTGTAGATGCTTTTGCTCTTTGACAAAAGGGGGCGGTAGGAGTTTACTCATTCTGTTGTTAGAGTTCCTGGGCGACCGCTGATGCACCGACTTTTTTTCTACATTTTTTCCCTGGCGCTGCAATCGACCCTCGCTCTGAAGCAAGCCGCATGTCAAAGTTGTTGCTGAGGTGGCTTTTCGAGGGACAGAGCTGCAGTGACGTGCCTTTTGAGTATCTGGCAAACCCATCAGGTGGGTCCCTGAGCGCACAGCAAGCTTCCTCAGAGCATGCATGGTAGTTTCCCAAGATAAGGGGACCCCAATATGGACCCTAAAGTTCCTAAAGCATTATAATCCTTCTTGTGTACCCCTAATTTTGGGAAACCCTAAGAACCTTAAACACTAAATCCTACATAGCCCCCATAATAACCCTATATATCCCCCTATAATCCCTTTAAAAGGTACCCCTATTTTGGGAACCCCTCCCCAAAAAAGTTGGTGGATGCAGGCTCCTTCAGCGTAGAGGCTTGGGCCGCCTGCAATGGAACTGTGGGCCATCAGCCGCTGGCCAGCACTGACAGGGTTTAGGGTTTAGGGTGTTTTTTTGCCCCACACTTGAGTGGGTTTATAGCCCCCCTTGACGCAGATAGAATATGGCTTTGGGTATATTATAATAAGATCCCCATATACCCCATATGGACTACAGGACTCAGGGTTGAAGGTGACAAGTTCTCCTCATGTGAGCTATAGTTTGAACTCCTTAAAAGGGCGCTATAGAGGGGATTGTAGAAGGGAGCATTAAAGGGGTTATTAAGGGGGATACTAGGAGTTTAGACTATTGGTCATGTCACTCCCATGTCCTCAGATGTAGATTCTGAAGAGCTTGTGCACAGTGCCACGCTATACTGCTGGATGTGTGGGCCCTGGAATTAGGTGCCTGTTGGCATCTCGTGACATAGTTGGTGGCAAGAAGGCAAGAGGCTGAGCGCTTCCAGTGCACATTGTCTTGATTTTCCTACGAAGCACCCTTCGTGAATGAGCTGCTCAGCATAGGATCAAAGTTCGCCAGCGCGATGTTTGTGGTTGCTGTGTGCTCAAGCCTTTAAATATGGACATGCAGGACATTCGGTGGTAGGCTACTGCTTCAGTCAGACCGACAGCACAGCAGCGCACAGCGCCGCCCTCTACAGTTTGGGCCGCGGCCACGAAGCCTACACTCCGCGGGGGTACCTGCTCCCTCTGTACATCGAAGACATTGGCATTGGCATCGGAGTTAACAAGTCCGGATACAGCTACTTTGGAGATAGTTCGGCCTTGCCGTCCCAAGCGTGACATCTTCCAATTGTTGTTTTCTCGGCGCGGTTTGCTGCAATGTCTGGCGGGCGGCCGCAGATGCTGATGTGTGACTTGCACTGGAAGATGTTGTACTTAGACGGAGACATTCATGCACACCATGCTTGAGCTCTGTGATTAGGTTACCTTTGTGGTCGAGAATTTGGCTCTCGGTCCCTACCTATACATGTACCTCAGTGCCAAGGCCTCAGAGCTTGGGCCAGCTTGGGCCTGTACCTGCCACTTAGTCAGTTTAGGGCTTAGGGTTTAGGGTTCTGGATTCGGAGCTTTAGAGTCTGTAGGCTGCAGACTACACGCCCCAAGGCGAAAAGAAATGGCTGGCACAGGTGGCTGGCTGAGTACTCACTCGCACTTGTCACGAAAGCTGCCTTGCTGGCTTGAGTTGTCTCTTGCGTTAGCATGGTACGGGGTAAACCATGTGTCGAATGCGTATCGGACTCTCTTTGTAGGACTCACTGTCAGCGTCATGCTGGTGATTGCGTCAGACCTCCTCCTTCCCTGCGTTGTTCAGGGTCGCCCGCTGTTTTCACTACTCTTGTGTGGCAATGGTACAAGCAACGCAATCAAACTTCGCTACTTCCCTCTGTGACGTTCGCTTTCCTTGCACGGGCTTGGTCCAAGTGCATTTTTTTGGCGTTTGCGTCGAACCTCGCGATTTCGTCTGTGGTGGTTACTCCTGTTGCAAGGTCCTGTGTGGGTGACCGCGCTAATGAGTCTTGACATCCCCTTTGGTGGATCTTAGTACGTTCTCTGTAGCCTCTGGTGCCATTGCAAGGTCATGTCACGCATATCCTTGTGCCTTGTTGCTGCGTCAAATCTCCCCACTCTTTCGATTTCTTTCTGTCCTGTTCTGTACCCTTGCACGGTCATGATGTGAACATCGTCTTGTCTGGTTGTTGCATCAAACCTTCCTATCCTTTCTGCAGTGTTAGCTGCTCTGCCATGCTCATGGTGCTACTAGCGTCATTCCTGCTGGTCGCATCCAACCTCCCTACTTTCCTTGTAGGGTTCACTACCTTTGCATGGTCGTGGTACGAGTGGCATTAGGCTGGGTGGTTGCGTCAAACTTCTCAACTCGTCTTGTACTGTAGTGTGCCACACTCCAGCAAGGTCATGATAAGAGTGGCATGATACGGTTGGTTTCATCAAACCTCCCGCCTCCCCTTTGCAGTTGCAAGGCTATGATACGCATGGTTGCAAATATAAATCATGCTGGTCGTTGCATCAAAACTCCCTGCCCGTTCGGTAGTGATCACCACCCCACGAATAACATTATGCTCGGTGGTTTCGTTGAATCTCTCTCTTCTTGTGTTCCATACTTCTGCCCGGTTATGGTGCCGGCAGCTTCATCTGCATTGAGACCTCACTACTCCTGTGCCCCACCCATGCATGGTCATGATACCACTGACATTACGCCCTGTGGTTGCATTAAACCTGGCTTCTCTTTGTACGTTGGTGCGTGCCCTTGCATGGTCGTGGTACACTACGCGTGGTTCTTGCATCTAGCCTGCATCCTCCTTTTCTAGGGTTCACTTCTCCTGTGTGTATACAGGTACTGCTGGGGCCGCTCGGGGCCGTCCACGTCACCCAAAAGTTGGCATGGAGACCGTCGTGGTTACCCTCCTCGTAACTTTTTGACCGGAGTCCCCATAGAGTGGAATGGAGTGGATTGGAACGGAGGGGTGCAGAGTAGAAAGTGAAGGGGGGCGTGGGGTGGAGAGTGGAGTGCTGAGTGGCGTGGCGAGTGCAGTGTAGGAGGGTGTAGAGAAACTGGAAAACGGGATTGAAAGTGAAAGGCGGGTCGAGTGGACAGTGGGTGTGAAGTTAAGAGTGGATTCAAGTGTAGAGTCAGTGTGGCCAGTGAAGAGTGGAGTGGACGGGACAATGGAGTGGAATGGGGAGTGAAATGCAAGGTGGAGTGACAGTAGTGGACTGGAAACTCTAGCGGCTGGGAAATGGTTAGGAAATGGAGTGGAAAGCACAGTGGAGAGTGGATTGAAGAGTGGAGAAGGGAGCGTGGAGTTGTGGTGGAGTTGAGTGGAGTGGAGTGCACTGTGGAGAATTCAGAGTGGAACGTGGATGGTGGAGAGCGTAGAGAACTTGGGCAAGTGGAATGCAGACCGCAGTAGAAGGAGAGCCCTTAGAGATGTTGTAGGAGAGGCTTTTCAGGCCCTTCAGGAGGTTTGTGCTTCTTGCTTCTATTCCCCTTCCTTTCTCCCGTTGTACTCCAGTGCTTGCGCCTGGCTAGCTTTCATTGGTCTCGGCTCGCTCCCCAAGTTGCGTGACCCCGTGACCCTAAATCCTAAACCCATGAAGGAGCCATGCTCAGAGGCAGCCTGCCTCGCACCATTGCTTTAATTTGAGCACTGAAGCCCAAGGAGGCACAGAAGCCTTGCGGCGACCGCAGGCGAAAACGGGCGGTCTTCAGCAGAGCTGGGTCTTAGCGGCTAGATAGTGGGGTGTCCAATTTGCAATGTCAAAGCATTGCTTTTTCTGAGCCACAGCTCCTTAGATGTCCAGCTGAGACTTTTACTCAGGGCTTGTTGCCAGATCGCGCATGCTGCATAACTACTCTGATGTCCCTAGACGCTGTCTTCAATACCAACGTGCGGTTTGGCTTTCAGGCCGCTGCCCCCTCGTCCCGAACGTTTAGCAAAAGTGCTGGCTGGGACATCATTGAGTGACCAGGCACAAGGGCCGCTTCAAGAGCTTGAAGGAAGTCTGATGCTTCCATGATGCCTGCAGGACCGAGCAACCTTCAACGAGGAGACGGATCTTGGACATTTGCATGGGAAAATTAGCGTAGGGACTGCATGAAGTCTGTACTCAGAGGTGCAGGGCACCTCACACATGCAAATGTAGTCGCCGGCCTTTGCATGTGCTGTGGTTGCACGGCAATGTAGTCGGAGGAGATGTACAACAATTATGACCAGGAGGCCGGCGGGCAGAGACTTTGGCAGAGCCCTGGAGAAACAGGGGTTTTGTCTAGCCTTATTCCCCAAGAGGTGCTGGATAAATGCGCCTGGTGCGGCCGTACCTTTACACCCGCTGCGTTGAAGATCCACGCGAAGAGCTGCACTGAGGACCCTGAAAGCAACACAAGCATGTGCAAGCATGTAAGCAATTAGCTGGAAGCGCCTCTGGCTTGGAATCTAGAAAGCTGTTGTAGAGGAGAACCCTGCAAAACCCGCGGGGACTGGCCTTACAAAAGCCAGCCTGAGCAACACGATTGTTCCAGGAAGCTCGGCTGGATCAGATTCTGGTTGCTTGTTTGTTCTCGAAATTAGAGACGCGAAGAGAAGCTGGAAAGTTGAAAGAGATTCTGAGAAATCGTGCTGCGCTGATATGTTCGCACTCTTTCCGAGCACTTGCTGGCTGTTTGTACCGTACACCTGAGGCAAGGTCTATGGTACCCGCCGCTTCGCTGAAGCATGTTCCCTAAGTCTTTCATACCGCAGCAGCATCCAAGACCATCAATCAAGCATCCATTTGATAGCTTTCAGCCACAATGCGTCAGTCCCTTCTGTGGTTCTGGATGCTTTGTGCTTCTTGTCGGCTTCATGATCTCTAGCACAAGACCTGTTCAGACGGGTGTTCAGACTGGGGGTTGTTTCGTGAGAGACGGATCCCTCCAAACCGAAATCCGCCACAGCCGTAATTGGAAGTTCGCTTGGAGGCCATGTCGGAAGCCAGAACACGTTCCTCGACTCAGAGGGGCTCGCCGGTTTGCAGGAGGGCTGCTGACATAGAAGTTCTGCGCTGCAAGCCGACGGAAGTGCGTGCATTTCCTGGCATATTGAGTCATTCATGAGGCCAAGTCAATTGTGTTCTCAGACAGTTTGATCACAGCAGGAGCCACGCGCGAGGTCCCCGCAGAGGGCAACATCGCCGATGCGCCGGGCGGCATCAGCAAAGCCGAGACTGAAATGGCATTTGTGGACGTCTGCTGACAAAACTTTGGCTTCTCAGCACCGATGCCTGAGGATCCGCCAAGGCAGCAAGGGCCCAAAGAAGGCCAGCGGTGGAGGTAATGTCTCAGCCCCAGCCTAGATTCCATTATGCGAACCTTAGATGGAGTGCGGCCTAGGCACAAACCTCGACGCCTCAGCCGGTTGCTGCAGCGTTTCTTTGAAGCCGTTCAGTGAGATCTTTCTGGAGTTGGACAGTATTCTCCTTGGCTTGTCAGTTCGGCCGTTCGGCAGCTGAGGCTTGTGCCAGCAGCTTCGCCCGTTTGCATTTATAAGCAGGACGCGGAGCTACGCAGAGATTGCATCACCTCATTGCCACGGTTTCAGCAGGATCTTCTGCGGCTTGTGGGAGAGACGTCTGCAGGAGCCGTCGCCCATCCTTGGCGTCTTTGCGGCCCCCGGTTTGCCTGGCCAGCCTGCACCCCGCCCTCCGGTTGTGTGCCTTTGAAAGAAGATCAGACACAGGTTTTTTCTTCTTTCGGAAAATGTACTGGTCTCTGACAGAGTTTGGCTGTGACTTTCGAGATAGTCCCACGCCAGCCTGCAGGGTTTGGAGCAATGTCAAAAGCACGCCTGTCGTGGCGCCCAGTGCTGTGGCAACGCCACCAGCAGCTATGGCGCCGTCCACAGCAGTCAGCCGCGCGGCCCGTACTGAAAGTCACAATGAGGTGGGTATATGTTCTTGCAGATTCAGGTGCTGCATCCGTCTAGGCTCTGGCAGGGTAGAGGGTTCGCTTGTGACTTCTCCCGGGGTTCGCTTGTGACTTCTCAAGTTGGTTCGCTTGTGACTTCTTGTTTTTTGTCGTCGCGAAATGCAGAACTGTCGTCGTTTTCGGAAAACCGTGTAACCCCCAATCCCTATAGCCCTACCCT